GTATGTCTAACAAGTATTAGCGACGTATTTTTATGGTGTGCGCTAGATTGCTGGTACCCTAAACACAAGTTGAATCTTATTCTGGGTACCAGAGTTTATCGTAAATACTGTGAATATCGTGTTTGTTACGCTGTTTATGTATTTTTGTGCCATATTGTGAAATAAATCATATTATTATTATTATTATTATTATAATAATGCTACTAATATAGGCCTCCATCAAAGACCTTGCTGATGCCTAGGGCCGTCCATCGTAGGAGTTCCCTGTTCCGTTGAATTTAGAGAGGTAGGGATAAGAGTGCACCAGTGTTTGCGCCTCCACGTGACCGTGGCCCAAAAATGGTCTGGACAGAGGTATACGTAATATAAGAATAACATATCATTAAAAAATGCATTGTCGAAAGCAATTAAGTTTACGAATACCTGGGATAAACCCTAATATCCAGAGAATAATTTAACATTATAGAAATAAAGGTATACAGAAGGGAAACAAATACAACATTGCAGGTAGAGACAAATGTACAAGAGTACGCGGAGATTGGGAGTTGGGTGACAAACCGGGGCACTTGCCCCGGGCAGCAGTTTTAAAATGTCTATAATGTAAAATATAATTCTCAAGATTGAAAACGGATATTAGTTTCATAGGTATAAAGTGTAGACAAAAAAAAAACATTAAAAATACAACAAAAAATAATCATGTTGAATTAAATCAATTGAAGCGTTTCCGTCGATTATAAAAACGTATCGTACCACCTATCAAATATAATATCGCGATTAAATCCAGAGTTACATGTCTAAATGCATGTTGTAAGTAGCGAAAGTTTAAAAACGATTATAAAATGAATCTCTCATATTTATTGACTATATATGGATTCCTAATTGCACTCGCCTAAGAAAGTTGAACAAAAAGAACATCGCTTCCACGTAGGAACGTCACAGGTGTGTACATTTACACAGACATTAAATATTAGAAATGAACAGAACATCTATATAACATTCCACTGTTATACATGTGTAAAAAGATATAATCAGGAAGGGCTGAACCCGGTCAGGGTAGGGTTGTATGTATTACTCAAACCATTTGAGTGCTTTTCTGACATTTCTGATATAATTTATAATCGTAAAAAACCGGATATGTAAGATAATGTATCTTTTTTCATGTGGAGTGTACACAAACATCATAAAGTATCATATTTCGGATAAAAGTGAATTCGGGTAGAATTATAAAGAGATTTAAGTACTTTAATAGCTATCACCTCCGAAAAGAATCAGGTACTCGGCCCTAAATTCCAAGCATAATAAAATATCATATTTCTTCTTTTTATGACATCGTAAAGTATTATTGTGAAACCTTATTTAGTAGATGTACCTATTCTTATTAACTATTAAGTTTGAATTGGGATTTGTAGAAATGCTGCTGGTAAAATGATTGAATCGTTTTGCTGAAATGAAATGATGTTTATTTATAATAAAATTATTATGAGACAAAATGAAAACTATTTATCACAAATAATTCTATTATCGTTTTTTTTTTTTTGTAAAATTAGTTATCATGGATCTTTATTAGCATATCACTTGTTTACGTAAAAAAATACAGTAATTCATATTTATCCTTTATAAAAACTTCGTTTACTTGTGTTAAAGTGTCAAAATAAATTTCGCCTGTCCGATGAGTAATAAATTCGTTCACTTAAATACTGATTAAAAGATATGTAATCGTGCAACCGCAAACCGTTGGCGCCGCCCGCTGACGTCGATTGTTTGCGGGTGCGCTCAGGCCTGTGCCTTCGCGCAATGCAATGCATTACATAACGCGAACCAGTTGGAGGATACAGCACTCCCACCCGGCTGCGCTCACTCTATGCTCTATGCATGCGATATAATATATACATATTTCACGGCCGCACCAAGTTCAGTGTTAAATGTTATACCTACGCCTATCAAGTATTGTATTCTCCACTGCCCACATCGCGCCCCAGTATTACATACTAAGACAGTCATTGAACTTGTACAAGTAAATTGGTTCACGTCAAACGTCACAATTCGTCATTACCAAATTTTCTCGAGTTGATTGGTGATTGGAACACCTGAAACCACAGAACGTTCGACAAATTACCTATTAAAAATTAATGTATTGTAAAAAGTACAATTTGGTATCTATCAAAACTTTTTGATTGGCGGTGTGCGTGGGAACATCGATCCGGTGGTTCGTGGTCGGATAACGATCGAGAGGCAAAAAAGGGACCGATATAATGGCGAAGGAGCGATGCGCAGATCCCAAGGACGGCGCGCGACTCCTCTCTCGCGCCCGCTACGGAATGCACCGGACTATTTTTAGTAATCAAACCCGATACCGACCCGGCCCTGGTCCATGCCATTGAGACAAACAAATATCCCTGATCGTTGGTGAAATGATCTGAAATTGAACGACAACGAACTCGTATCACCGAGCAATTACAATAAAACATACTGCGAAAGAAAAACATTTGACGGCAACGAAGAATATTGAATTGTTTTTATCAACTTGTGACTAAACCAGTTTTTTTCCTATGAGTAAGCAAAGCTCACGTCCAATAAGTAAATTGATACAATCATGCCACCTGGAGCTCTGGCACATTACTTTGAATTATGGCGACGAAAAAAAATGTTGAAAGAAGATGATCACATTAAAAATATCTCTGTAGGCTTTCGGCACCCAGCCATTGAAGATTAACCTCATTTAATATTCCTAATATCAAACCCGAGTTAGATACGGTCTAGTTAGAATTTTGTATAAATCTAATTTATTGACTCGATCGATACTGATTTGTTTTTTTTTAGTTCACGACGGTTTATTCCGTAAAATTTCCAAACATTATTAGACGGAGAATATCGTTATTGTAATAATTTCCTCTTATTTATAAACATAAAATGACTACGGTTATGCAAAACATTATCTAAAATAGCTGATAACCACCAGTAGAAGACTCCCTAACAATCGTAACAAATCAATGTTGTAAATCAGTCTTGAGACCTGCTGTGTAAATCCAAATGCATTAAACTTTAGTTACAATAACAATCTTACGGAAATAACGATACGCTTTGTATATTTACTACTATATATTGTGATAGCTTTACATTTATTACATTAAGTTAACATAAAAGAAGCCCATTTATAGGAAATTATTTTCCCACATAATACAAAATCATCACACGAAAGCAATGCATATTGTCATGACCTTTTTTTATTATTAAAATTATAAATATGTCAGTTATTCAAATATGTGTCCGCTAAAATGTGCCACCACTTTCATATGATGCGTGATACAAGGCCATTTAAGTTACGGAATAAGATAATGTAAGTTCTACAAAACTGGCGACTATCTGTATATAATCTGGAGTCGTTTACGGTACCGGTGCAAAAGCTACAAGTATGGTGAGAGGGGGCGGTTCTCAGCGCACCATAACATTATTCCATGGAATTGCAGCGCTAGATGTCCTGGCCACGCGGCTGCTAGTCAAGGGGCGATGAACCCCTGCAGCTGTCGCTCCCTCCGCATCCCCGCACTATTTTTTCTCAGCACCGACTTCCGTCGAAGTGTTTTTTGGCGACCTGTCGATAACCTGCCTGATAGCTACGGACACGCCTCATTTGCGGAATCACTCCTTACAATATTGATTAGTTGAAATTATCAGCTTTTCTCGCTAAGTGCTCCCGCGCCGCTACATCCTTGATGAGGTAATTGCCTACATTCCGGTAAATGTTTACCTACGTTGACGAGTGTCACTGACTGACAGTGAGATTTTTTTCTGAGAATACCTACATACTGATTCGAGATCTTTTTTTACAGATTCTTAAAATATTGAACGAAGTGTGATCATTCTTCTCAATTGTTAAAAATCTGTAGATTCCTCTATTGGTATAGATATCTAAATTTGTACTTATACCATTTCCAATACAGTGAAAAATAGTGTCTGTAGTGCATTGTCGCATTATTCTGTCGTATATCGCATAGTTGCGTACGCGCTGCTTGAGTCGCGCACTTGAGTCAACACGCAAAACGTACCGATCACCGCATACACCACTTTATAGCTCACCCCAGTGTCGTAAGCTTTGTTGATATTACCTACCGGTTACGACGGATTATACAAATTTTATTGCGTGTAACAAGCTGTGTTATACGTACGTTGTATATATGTTTTATTTTTTTATACAAGTAATGTTATTAAAAGATTTGATGATTCGTGGTTCTACATTATCAAAAGGATTCGTAAATAAACTTCTTTACTTTAACTATACCAATTCAGTTGTATAGGTCTCCTTTTTAATTTTTATGTGTGCAATATAATAAGATTTATGTAATATGAAGTAAAATGGTACGTGCAGGTATTGTACTCTAATGAAAGTCTAACAATGAAGGTCGAAGACCTGTAGGTCATAGCAACCACCTTGCTGCCTTCACCATGCGACCCATTGTGGCTCTCACATAAGTTATAACTACTTTTTGTAATGCTAAACTCCTGTAGGTGCATGAGTTTTTATTAACCATTTCCTGTTTTGTAGTTTTATATATTCATATATAATTGACACTTGAATATGCTGTGTTTATTAAAAAATGTTCGAGTTCAATGCATTCCCGATAAGTCTATTTGACACTGGCAAAATTTTTACTGTGTACATGATAAGTACGAAAGCTACAAGCTTAAAAAAATGAGATGACTTGATGGCAGGGTAGGGCTTTTTTTCAGGTACTCTAACTGAAAAAAAATCCACTCTCTGCCATCAAGTACTTATCATATATATCATCAGTAACACGGATTTAGACACAAATATCTCAATTGAGCGTATAAACTTAACAATTTTTGATACATTACGGTTATTAGGCAGATTTTAACAGTCACTCCTCAGTGTCATCTTTCCGTGAAAGTGGTGAGTCTAATAAAAATATTAAATATCTTTATAAAACCAATATTATCTGAATCGTTAAATAGTGCTTAAAAGTAAATATATGTTGACGTACCTGCTGCGGGACCAAGGGTAGCTGCGAATAGCAAAAAGCAGGTGGCCAAAACGATCTGCATCTTGAGGGGTCGAGTTATTTCTGCGGGAATGGTGGTGATATATATGCAAGCACACGCAGGAGTGCGCACTATCGACACGGGACACTCGGGTACACTGAACGCGCGCTGCCCGGGACCCCCCCTTATAACAGAGACGCGTCCCGCGCGTACCACCACATGGGACCGCCTTTGCGACCGCAGACCGCAGCCTCTTGTACAATTCTCTATTCCGTTGGATACTCTCGACTAGGAAGGTACCGAACCAGCAATGTAAATGCCCCATTTATCCTATCCATACGGACGTTGTGTGGAGATGTCATGCGCGGACGTCCGGCGGCGGGCGGACGCTCGGCTCGGCGGCGCCCGCGCGCCTCTACACGGGAGTTATCTCGGCAAAACGTACCGCACAATAGTTCGCTCTCAATTTGTTCTTTTTGCGGTCGACGCGAATTCTTCGCTTGTCCAAAGGGTTGTCGGTGTTGTCGTGGTTTTTTCACGAATTAATGCCGCGCACTTCAAGGGTGTGCATTTGTTAAACGTTCAATTCAAACAGTAATTATGTTAAAAACTACAAAAGAATATATCAATTCACACAAATAATCATGAGCCAGGAACATTCCCCTCGTACTAACCACGAAAAACGTAATGTATTAGAATTTATTCTTACAATTCCCACGACGGTCGACACAGATTGATATTAATAAGGCACGTATTTAACCTTGTGACAAACACACAAACATCAACCAAGTTCAATATTAGATCTTTGCTGAAATAAAAGGAAATGGGGCAGTCTATAAGTAGTTAAAAGCTGCCGCCAGTGCTTCACCACTTTAAACATGTTGCTTTGAAAGCCACGTTAACTGGTGAGACGCTATTTGCTTTACACGCCATGCAGCCCAACAACTTTGACATGCCCATACAAATGTGTGCGCTATAATCGTATATTTTTTGCATTCCTTCTATCTGCACATCCATTGTAACAAAACTAAGGACAAAAAGACACGTGCATATTTTTTAAATGTTCCATCTCAATACAAGACACTGCACTTAAATGAACCTGCAAAAGTTAAATTGCTCTAGAGCCTGCAGAAACAATTTAAAAATTTCTTTTTTATCGCATTCAAGCGATACCTATCAGTATTGTTTTACCTCCGATGAATTACATTCGAGGGCGATACCAGTCGATAAAATAAAATTCACGGTTTTATTTCATAAAAAATATGAAAGTTTAATAGCTGCAAAAAGAGAAAGAAGTTCAGAGATACATACTCGTACGATGCAAAGTTTTTTCGATGCGAAGATGTAACTCCGCTTCGGGGAGTATTTAATTGAACAAGAGCACGGCCCCGATGTTTTGAATAATAGAAGTACTCGTAATAGACCTCACATGCCGCATAATCGAAACTATTCATGTGCTATTCACAACACTGATGATACTCGCGAGCGCACGAATTCAAATCGACAAAACAAACGTGTAGTGAGGACAATGCATTAATTGATATAGTTATCACTAATTGTGTCCGAAACTAGCGCGTTTTCTTGCACAATAAAATTTTATAAGCTGACTAATACAAGTCACAACGAAAATTCAACATGATAATGTGTGCTGGATTCGAGGTTTTTGTAAAGGTAAGGTAAGATTATTACGTCATTGTAATCGCTAAGACGACTTGACGAAGAGAAAAAACAGATCAAAAACTGTTTTTTCACTTCTGTGGAAGTAGAAGTTTTTTCTCTTCTGTGCAAGATACCGCGATATTCATTTAAGTCAATAAAGGCCAATATATGTACTCAAAGTTAAATTATTTATTAATTATAGCGTAATTTAAGAGATTTTTTGAGTTATTAAATTAATTTATTGTTATATAGTTTATTTATTTGCCTCAAAAGACTATTTAACATCACGCAGCAACTCAGCGCGGTACAGGGTCCGGTAGTGCTAGCAGTTTACATCGTACTTATAATTAAGTTTCGTGACAACTTTTGTGTAGATGCGAAATACTAACTGTCAACAGTCGTGACAGACACGACCAACGATTTCCCATGCTCTTCAAGGTGCAGACATTTATTATTTTCTTTCGTTAATCTGTGGCCCACGATTTTATTTTATTAATATAGATCTATTTATTAAATCAAAGATAGTCACGCGGTTTCTTCAACCACGCTTACTCCTTACTGTTATAGCCACTGCCGTAAAATTTTAAAAGTCGGTCAATGAGCTCGTTCCAGATTCCTTTTTCAACATTACGTTAACTTCAGTAAATAAAAAAAATATATTTTGAACCTATTCCTTTCGCCTTCAGTCAACCCTATTTTTTATATGTGGAACTCTGAGATACCTTTCTACGCCGAGAGCACGATTTTGTCGTTAGGTATGTGTTCGATTCATTCTAGCCCAGTAACAAAGAACGAAACGATGAGCTTTTTAATATTACAATAGAACAATGATCGTCGGAACTGTTCAACTAGCTATTTAAGCAAAGCAGTTTCCGTAACTATTTTGACGGATGCAAGTCATAGTTATTTAATAACAGTTTTCTAGTAAAAAAAAAAACATAAAACCTACGCGGAGAGTAGACCTAATTATAAGAAAACAGTGTGTTAGTATTGCTTTCTAATGAGTAAGATTGCCTGAGAACCGCCGAAAAGGCAATAAAGTTATTAACGCCCAATTACACAAACCGATAACCGCTTCATGTCAGTTTAGGCAAAAACGTACTTGTTTGCCTAGACCCAAATCTCTCGAAAACAAGGCATAGGTTAAATAAAACTTATTGGATTAAAACTACATACATTCATTATAAGTAGGTACGTATGCATGTATAGGCCCTCTCTAGCAAAATATTAATATTAATAGTTACGGCATATTGCAAAAGGTTTATGAATATGGAAAATGCAGCTGGAGAAATATCAATGTTTGAAAACACTATGATGTGTCACCGATCACCCGCCAAACAATTCTCAACTGTAGCGTTTGTCAAGGGACACACATATCTTGTGTTTATACTAATGTTTCTAAATTGCATGCGATGCTTGCGACTGCGGGGGTCGTACAATTATTACGATAACAGAAAATAAGGGTTTTACGCTGTCGTTTAAATACTGCTTTAATGCATTTTATACTCAATCGCAATAAATGCTAAAAAAAAATATTACGTTGATGATCTCCTTAGCTTGATGTCTCTGAACAACATTCGCAATATTACTCGATCATTGTGCTATGTGCACGTCCCTTTATAGTGGATCGACATTTACATTGAGTCTACTTGTAAATTATCCATTTCGATTTGAATCTTGGATTATCTTTAATATGTATACTTTACTTTTAGTATTTTGAACTGTATCAGGAATACTTTATACTTTTTTAAGTTTTATTCTTCTGCTTGATCGTCAACCCTTCTGGCTCTAACCTTCTCTGCATTAACTATTCACTTACTCATAACTTGTTAAATATACAGTTCAACTTTGATATTATTTCGTATGTAAAGTTTTGCTGATTATCCGGTTTAATTTTTTTATTTCAACGATTATTGAATAGACTCCAAACAATCAAAATAAATAAAAACGTAATAACATAGTGAATATCGGTCATCTTGGACCTATTTTAAAAGTAACAACAATTTATGAAACTCATGCCACAATCTCTATTCGACATAATGAATATATTGCAAAAAGATACCCAGCCCACGTCTTTTACAAATAATTTTATGTGGTCCTGTAAAGTATGTTTTATAGATAATATTAATGTCCTGTATTCTATTATGTGACTGCATGCTGAGTACAGTACTGTCAATAGCAAAGTCAGTTGATAGAGATATTGTCAAATATTAATGGAAAAATATGAAACTGTTCCGTAGGCGGTGTGAATGCATGTCTGCACATCATTGGAATATTTCGCAATATAGATAAAATATGAACTGTTTTCCATAGCATTCTTGTCATATCTGCAGCATTCCCTTTGATGAGATTCTTTGATGGGCATGGCATAGAACATTGATACAAAAATAGATGGAAACTAAAACTCACAACAGTAGAACAACAAAATGCAAAATAAATTAACAGTGTCCATTATTTTGATACTAGTATTTATATAGACGATATGGAATTTAGCACTCTTCAAAAATAACATCAAAACAAATAACATCTTCATTTAACATCTTAAAAAAAATAAAAATGTAGTCTTATCGTAATAATATTTTTTTCACTTTTGTATGGTAATATTTTATTATGTAATGAAAATCTAGTGGCATTATAATATACATAGATGGTATACCTATATGTTAGATAGGTAGGGCACATATATTTATTAATATTCATTTGAAACGGTGTTATATACCGAAAGTCGAAATTATGGTTCTCTTATGAAGATATTGTGAACTGCAATTAAATGTTAAATTAAATGTTTCAAATCGTAAAACCCACACAATATTACGGCATAAATACAGCTTAATTCTGAACAACTAATAATAACAACATCGCGTTCCGATCGCTTCCCAAAGCAAAATCAAAAATAACTAGACCAAGTGTTATCTCTTATATTTTATGATCGTAAAAAATGTCCCGATGAAATTGCAATATCAACGCGGTTGCTACTTATTTGCGCCATTTCCATAACTTAATCAAATTATTACCTGTTAGCCAATCGTTCCGCTGTTGCTCGCGGTTTTTTCATTTCCCGTGGGATTCTTCACTTTTCCGACGATTTACATATTTAGAGAAAAGACTTTTGTCCGGACTGGTTTATTTTGAACTGTCTCTTCTTGAGTAGAGTTATGTTGATAAGTCTTTTCTTTTAAAAAAAAAATGTTTACAAATACAGTAAGTAGGTTCCAACATACCTAATTGTAAGGACGTTTTGTGAAGTGCAATAAAATCCTTCCAAAGAGATCATTTTCGTTAAAACATTTTTTTGTTAGAATATTACTTACTGCATTTAATATGTTTTGTGCCAAACAAAAACCTTTTACAGATTGAATTTCAGTTTTTCTCTAATTTTGACTAAATTTTCGTAGTTTTTAAAATAATATGAAGTGTTTATATTAGATTAAAAAACATATCACAATAATTTAATACTTCTGCTAAACTCCACAGCAGTTTGTTGGCAGACGTAGCTTCCATATTATTATATCACATTACAATAAGTTATTTTTATTACACTCATTAATATAATTGAAAAATTCAATTACTTTTGTTTTTTTTCGAGAAAATAAATACAAAAAAGGCACCTCGTAATAATCATAAATATATCATAATAATAAAAAAAAACTTTTTCATTGTTTACTAGTGACAAAGCGTCTAATCTTAAATTAACTTCTTTTCCATTTAAGGACAAATTTGTAATGAAGTAGGTAAAGATTCTAAGAAAAGAATCTATCGGCCATAAATTCTGATGAGCATTAACGTTTCACTCATAACAATAACTATCAACAATTACTAACAGTAATTACAATGATTTATAATTATATTCTTAGCAAGTAAGTTTTTTCATCGACACCTTTGTATGGGAAAGTTTCACTACGGTTTTGTACAAGAGAGAGATACTCTTTCCGTCCTCTGTCTCCATCGTCCCAGTTATCTCCAATTTTACTGTAAACTATTCAGCTTCATTTTTAATAAAAGTATATGAAATTGAAACCTAGAATAGAAAAGAATTGAAACGTAGTTAGTTAAAAAATTCAATCAGCAGCGGAAGATCGTATAAGTCCAGAGGGAGCCATAACTTTGTGAAAAAATTACGAAAAAAAAAACGCGGGTCGATCATACAAGAAAGTTTTACACTAATAAGCTTTTTGAACGAGTGCTGCCCTCGGTACCTATAGTCGTTTCCCAGCACTCATACTAGATTTAAGAGCATATAAGATGTGAAATATATGGATAAATTTATTAAAACTTACGACAGCAAGCACATATTACATAAAACGTTAAAGTTAAGCTGTAAAATCAGAGATAGGCCAAAAGCGTTTACATTTCACTCTTTTCAGACTCAGACTTTCTCTGTTTTTATAGGTTTCAAGTGTCTTACTTTAAATATTCAAAAATATGCAGATATTGAATTAATTAAATTAACTTTGGCGTCCTAGAGATAACTAGCGATTTCTTAGTTGTCATACAATATATATATATATATTTATATATATATATATATATATATATATATATATATATATATATATTTATATATATATATATACACATAACGTTACAAGTTACTAAATAAACGCAGTTAGTAATACTTACAGCTAAATTAATAAGCTGAACTAGATTTATCTATATTATGTATGATGTAAATTTGTCAGTCCATTTGTAAGGAACTTCGCCATTATTGGACTCTATTCCTATAATTTATGATTCATATTTTTACCAAATCAAGTAATAAAAAGCATTGTAGGAACTAAATGACAGTCAGCTCTGAATTCTTTTTTTCTAAGATCTAAATTTCTGTAACTACTAATCTATTTTCATGCAAAGACAGTTCTTAGTGTGACTGAGAATGGCAATTGCACAGGCCTGACATTACCACTTATAATAATTCACTGCAGTCCCAAAGCGTAACAGTGCTACAATGAGTAACTGAAACAATAAACTACAAACCTAATCTAAACATCTAATCAAATAGACATCGGTAGAGTCACAGTAGACAAACGTATAGACATCGGTAGCTAAGGCAGGCAATACGTAAATGACAATTCTACATCCAATATTAAACCGTTATGAATTATCCGGTGTTTAGAGTTAAACGCAGTCGTAAGTTAATCTTGCAGGTTTAGTAAAATATACGTCTCATAACTGATGTTCTAACGTTAGTGTAATCTAATATATAAATATTTCCGGTCCGAAACGGTTCGACAGATTATAAGGTTTTTTTTTGTATATTTAGTAAGTATGAGGATAGGTAGTAAAGTATTTTTCACCTTCCTACCCCACCCTACAAGACGAAGACGAAATTGCACGGGTCAGCTCGTAAAATTATAAAAGAAAACAGTTTAGTGCTAAATAAAAGGTATGAACACAGCGGCACAATGGACTATTTATTCTTTAATTCGCTATCAATACTTGATTTACCACGAAAACCGAGAAGAGAGTTGACTGAACCCGTCGACTGTTTTTTCTTTTGTGTTTTTTGTTTCTCGTAGATGTTTATTGCTCGCTATCCTCTAGTTCAGAAAAGCGTAAAATTGAAAGAACGAATTAGCGTAATGTTGTCAGTGGGATTTAAAGTAAGTATATTTTAATATCAGTTTTTACAGCTTTTGTGACAAGAATATAAAGCATTTAACAGCAATGGATTTAGGTATTGGTTATGGATAAACGATTAGCGCTAAGTTGAAGTAGTGATGAGCATCATTTAAGATGAATAAACAGGTGCTTGACGCGGGTCGCATTCATTTACTTTGTATATATGTGTAAATTGTTACATAGGAGTGACACGAGAATGTCACTCCTATCGAACAATTTTATTGCATCAGTTTTTTAAATAATATTCCACATGTCTCATAATTATCATATTTTTCGTACACAATTATGAAGCTAAACACATTTGGGAATATCGAAACTTCCACGGTTTTACCTATTTTCAAACCAAACAGCTTCCCACCTCTTTTTCTGCAGGGCAGCCATTGTCATGTTAACATTGCTTGTGAAATGTACTTTTCAAAAAACTTTCATAAATGCAAGTGACCCATCTGCTCTTTTGCATCCTATACCATAAAAAAATTGTGAAATGTAAATATTACTATAGGCTTACTTAAAAGAAAAGAAAAAATAAACGACACTTTTATTTTTTTATTTTTCATACTTTGGAAAATATCTATTTTTTCTTTGGCAAGCAATTCAAGTCTAAAAATAGTATCCATGCCATTCACCTTAGGCCAGGCCAACTTCAACTGTAAATCTTCACCTGAATCAGAATAAGGAAAGAAAACCTTAAACATATATGTTCGCAATATTTATAAATTCGGGACGGATGAGCGTACGGTGCGGTAATCTTTGAAATCAAAATTAATGTATCGGTGGAATTTGATTGATTTAGCTTGTTAGTAGTCGGAATCTTAATAACTCATGACATCGCTGAAGAACGTACCGGTTCGAGGTGCAATTTAAGTTTTTTGGCTCGAGTCTTGGCTCGAGCGTTATTAACGCCGCCCGCCGTATCATTTGCATGACCAGTGACCAGTGGCATTGCCACTTCACGCTACTATTGTGCATCGTGGCATACCATGTTAAAAATAAAATATCTATAGTTAATAGTGGTGCGAGGTTTGATAATATTATACGCTCAAGATTAAGAAAAATTTTTTGTTTGTTGCCTTTATTTACTTTAATGTTTCTTACATTTGTAGTCACTTATCTCATTATAAAATACAAAATGGTTTTATTATAGAAATATTATAAGGTAAGTAAGATCACTTTCTTTCAATAAAAAAACTACAAAAATCGGTCCATCTATTGAATATATATTATGCCACAGACAGATTTTAATTTTAATTTCACAAATATGCAGATACACACGTTAAATGAATAAAATCTTCCTTTTTTTGCGTTGGGTCCTAAACACGGGGAGGTACTTATCTCATTTCATTTACATTTCTTGTTAATAAATATTTTTTTCATCGGTGTATTTATATCATGCTAAAACAGAATGCGGTCTTTTAATTGCCCTTTGGAACTGCTGTATATATGTAGGTATGCATATGTCACTTACATCTTTTGTCGTTTTAATTTTCTGATCACGTTATAAACATTTCACACGATGTCGTATAATATTTATAATATACTGGCTGTACCCTGCCACGCATCCCTGTAGCACATTGAGGTTGCATTGATGAGAAATTAGAAACAAAACAAATGCAGAACTTTTCAGTAAATTAAACACACAAGTAAATAAAACATAAACATTTATATATTTATCTATATAAATGTAAAGTTTGTTTGCGTACACTTCAAAAATTAAAAACTTTTACTCCGATTGAGCTTAAGTTTTGACTCTATATACAACATACTTTATAGGTTACTTTTATCTATTTTTCGTGTCAGTTATATCCCTCGTTTATTAATGCAACCTCAATGATCCAAAGCGAAGCTTGGCAAGGTACAGGTAGTATACTTATAATTATATGGATGTAATAAATTTAAAGCATAAATTTTGACTTTATACACTGCACACTGGCAAGGCGTGAAGCCTTTAATGCATAAATTTTGACTTTTTACACCACATACTGGCAAGTCATGGAGCCTAATAAACGAGTGTCATATAATTAATTAAGCACACTGCGTCATAAAGGTGCATGCATGACGTATTTTATGTAACAAAAACGACAACGTGCATCTAATAGAATTGATGGCTGTCGATGGGCGCAATCTCCACGTTCTATATTGATTCGCGCCGCCGCCGTGTTGTCGTGACATAAGTGCTTATGTGTTTAAGCAATTACTGCCCAGAGACTGATGCTATACCACGCCATAGCCGCAAACGGTGCGACGCTATATCAGTTTAGGTTCGTGGGATACCGTTATAATTGACGTGCACACGAGAGCTAGGCTGAGATGTCAGAGGATCGGTGCGGTGTCGAGGCACGCCTCACTTCTTTACTATAATTTACCCCGGGTTTTTACGACAACCCTTAATCACACTCAATTCTCAACGTTTTATAATTCGGTCCGAAGTAAAACATTGTATTAAAAGAAGTCTTGAGTATAATAAAAATAAAAAACAAAAATAGTTGTAGATTGGTTCATTGTACATTTGTTGAAAATGCTTACAAAGAAGTGATTTTGAACGATTTTGGAAAAATCACACTGAATTTTTGGATTAATTTAGGGATAAAATAAAATTTCCTGAAAAAAAAAAATATTCTAAGGAAGAGATTGTTATCACATGCCTTCTTCAAATCTCTACATTCTTACCTATGAAAACATTAGAGGCAGGAAGCGTTTCATCGAGTAAATACTACTAATACGAGTATTTACTCTTCAAATCAATTTGAAATCGTACAGGCAGATTAACTTTGTGTTAGTTCACCTAGTCGTAATCTAGTCACAACCAAACAGTTATTTTTCATAAAATATATAAAAAAAACAATTAAATTGGCAGTTTTTCCAAAAAACCAAAAGAACTCAAGGGGGCTCAACTAATAAGAAAACAATGTTAATACAAACGAAATACATACAGTGGAACATAGAACCTTTTTTGTTTACTAACTTTAATATGTTAGATTTAATTCAACATTTATACGATAATTTAATCTGTGATATTTTTTATTGTAGCCTTATATCCATGACATTCTCCTCTTCCACGAATGAGATGTGTTATCGAAAGCGATTAAAATCTTAAACATCGTCTCAAAGACGAGAATCGAAATATTTTATTATTTAAGCGAATTTACAATAAAATGCCCCGCAAACTGTATCTGTTGATTATCGTAATTATTGTAGTGTTGACGTGTGATATCCTCGAGGGTTCAAGGTTACGCGTGATCTTGAAATATCGTAAAACCAATCTCTATCGTCTATCAGCAGCGTCGATCACTGATTTCTCACGACTGTATGTTTCAAAAAATAAAGCAATATCGCCCTTAAAACAAAAGCTGTTATGTTTAAGGTACCTTGTTTGTTAAAGTTAAAGAAAAAATATTTTTATGTATTTTGTATTCTAAGTGGTATGTTTGAAGGTAGTATTCAACATGTTGTTTGCGGTTCTTTGTTATCGGTGTTGACTCGACAAATATTTACACTGGATCAAACACTATTATAGGACCTGTTCGTTTTATCGCTTTAAACCCAGTCACCGCATCGATCTCTCGTCCACCGTTACAATTAATACTTTTGAAAGAATACTCATAGCAGTACATTTTATATTATTCACAGCAGTACGTCTAGCGGTAAAATCTACGTCTTTTACTAGAGGTAAAATTTGTGAGTAAATGTGCAAGTTTGTATGAATCAGATAATCTTTGTAACTACTTAACCGATTCTGAACATTCTTTCACTAATATATCATTTGTTACAATAAAATTTATTATTATTATTATTATTAATATATATATCTGCATTATCCTTTGAACTATATTCATATCGTATATATTAGAGAGGCTCGTGGCTATCCATAGGGATAATCGAATTATCCCCCCCCCCCCTTCCCTTATATATAATTATTTCCATCTAGTTACTGTTACAGTATGTTTGCATATAATTGAAAACAATATTTCCATATATCGCTTTTAGCACATGTATCTCTTTTTTTTGTTTTTGTTGACGGGTGGAAAATCCTTTTGGATATCCGGCTCCTCGGGGACGCAGGCGCCAGGAGTATGTGGTGTTTCCAACAAAAAACACCCCGAGCCGGTCTCAGGTGCCCTGCTCTGGGGAGGACCATGTCATTTCAGGCAGCCCTGGATCGACGCCGCGCCTAGCCAGGCCCTGTCCCGGGGAAAGCAGGCTTCCCCCGACTTAGCCATACTTAGGTACTTTTGTGTTTAAAAAAGAGCTTTTATGACATAATGATTATTTAAACAAGAAAACATTATTCCTTATCAAAATTAGTTGTTTGATGACGACAAGGACATCATAGAGATAGGATTTTTTCTTTACCATCATTGGTTATATAGTTTCGGAGCTACACGGGAACCAAATACCGCTCAAACGGAGCCGCGGGCGATAGTATCAATCAATTCTGTTCAATTTTATATATTTTGTATTTATATTTTATAAATAAACTCAAGTGTGAGATATTTAAATGACTGATTAATTTTAATAGAAGCACTCGTTGTCAGATTGAAAACGTGCGATCATGTAAACGAATACGCGTTATACCAATGGCATGATCTCAAAGCATGTCAACATTATAGGCGTTGGCGCCACACCAAGCGCGCGTCGGAACTTGTTCCTTTTGTATGCACACGACTGAAATAAAACATTCTTCAAAATTAAATGGGACCAACTTCTCAGCCATAAGACGTCCACTTCTGGACATAGACCTCCCTCAATATCTTTCAATAAGATTGAAAGCGGTCGGCATCTACCGGCATTCTTGATCTCATCCTAGGCTACACCTTCTAGTCCATCAGCCCTATTCCAGAACTTTCCAACCCCATCGGCATTGTGTTCAGACTCCTTTTGGAGGAAAAAATACAATCATTATTTTTAAAATAACAAGTATACAATAGTTCCTCACCTACTAACATGGTAAATTTATTAGTTTATTATGTGCCGACGTACATGTGATGGAAAATGCTGTTGTTCTTGCTTTGAAAAACGTTTTAATAATTCATGTAGAAACTTCTCATTAATTTTACTGTGCTTTCTTGATCTTCGCTTGTCATCATTTTTATAGTATTAAAATGACCATGTTATGTTTTGTGTAAATAATAAACATTAATATATTTATGACTAGCTGAGACCCGCGGTGGTACCCGCGTTTGTTGTTATAACCCCGGGCAACGCCGCGGGGCAAAGTTAGTCTAAAAAAAGTAGCCTAAGTTACTCCTTATGTCATCAGCTATCTGCCAGTGAAAATCCCGTCGAAATCGTCGAAATCGAGATTACCCGGAACAAACAGACAGACAGACAGACAAAAATTGTAAAAATGTTATTTTGGCATATGTACCGTGTAAACATACATATGCATTTAGTAAAAAGCGGTTATTTTAATATTACAAACAGACACTCCAATTTTATTTATTTGTATAGATAGATTTAACACCGTAGAACAGTCACTTAAGTATTTAATTTATATTAATGTTGTAATTTAAAACGAAATTAATTTATAACTATTTAATCATTCTAAATGAATGCGAATCGTTTTTTATCTGAGCTGATGCGTTGTGTTCCTTTAAAAGTAACTTTGATACGAGCGGTAAAGTTTACAAAAGGTCAATGTTGAAAATCTATGTTGCCTCATCACGGTGTTCACATCAGACCGGTGGCGGTGCAGCGGTGCGGCGTATCTAAAGCTCAATTGCACAATTAGTGTTGCTTCTATTGTATTTCCGGATTCCCTCAGGGTTACATTCACCTTCATAAGATACATTTGCCTCACGAACACAGCCACGGCCTCACTTATCATATTCCATAGTCATCATCTTCATAGCTTTTGTAAGTGTCTACGGTAAATGGTTGTCGTAAAATTGTACTCAGTTGATTATTAATTATGGAGGGATAACGGTTTTCTATAATACGTTGGCGTTTCCGCAAGTAATGCGCAAACTAGTCTGCTATTCGATTAACTTGCATGTCGGCGGACATATCACCCTTGGTTGTTATCCAAGGGCATCAGCACCTTGCAATTAAAATCGAAAACCTTCCTGGAAATGAAGAGGTTGGTTCCCGCCGACACCTTCCGTTGCTTGTCAATCCTGGCCGACTTCTTAGCAGCAAATAACCCTTTTTATAAGCATCATTGGTACCCTTTTTTGACTTTATAATATCAGTAATTAATGTTTAAAAATATCATATATAAAAATACAAATTTCCTATATAGCGGGTATATATCGGGTATTAGCGTTGTGACTGTTCTGCCAGTTCATTCCGAAGTTCGGGTTCTTTTGTCTTGAATGTTTGTAGACTTCCTTATCCAAACAATTTAATAGAGAAAGAGACAATTATACCTACTATGACATGTCTATTTATTTAAAAATGATTTATCGAAGTAGATATTCAGTGTTTGGAATTGTTTCCCATTTTTAAATGTAGCTATTGTCCACAGTTTCGCTAGCGCTTCTTATTTTGAAAATGACGAACTTCCGTACAACCGTTCATGCCTTATTCACACCTTTAGAAGTGAATACAACAATTTAAAAAGCATCAGCTGCCAAAATTTTAAGTTTGTAGCCTAGTCAGTTTGTCAAGGAGTTTTACAGATTAACAGAATATGTTTGTAGATCTTCATTATAAATGAAGATCAACAAATATTCTGTTACTTAAGTAGTGTTGTTGTCATACGTTTTAATGTTATATATAACAGATTTTTGTTACCAAATCATTAAGCACTTCGATATTAATGGATACGTAGTTCGTCAATATTACGTTAAGTTTTCAAATTAATAATATTACCTTTAAAATATTGTGTTACAGTTAGGAACGTAACTATTTAAGGGATTTTTACTTTTAAAAATACAGAAAAATCAAAATTCCTTTCAGTTTAAGGCCGATATAATCTAATTTTTTAAAACTAGGTAGCTTTACACACGTACGTACTACACGCACGTTACATACGTGTTTGCTTGCGTACAATGCTTTGTGTTGGTCAAATTGTCGCTCAGATATTTTAAACGCTTTATCGGAGTTTATTGATACGGTATGCTTATGAAAACATGATACAAATATTTAAAAAAAATAATATTAATTTGATTATTCAGGCACTTTTGTCCTATTTAATAATAAGTAATATCAAATGCTGCCAAGATTAAAGTAAGCAATGTAATATTTTTCGATTTCAATAAATGACATAAGTGGGCAAATAAAAAACAATCGTTTCGATAAAACAGTTACAATTTACGTGTATTGCAAACGACACCACTGAACCACACCACTGCGGCGTCGTTTACAATTATTTTTGTGACGAAGTATAACGTGAAATAAAACAATTCGTTGTGTTCATGTTTAACGATAATGTTAAAATTGGTCGACATCACAAGTGATTCGTAAAACATAATAATTATATCCATTACATCAAAAAACAACTAAATTAATTTATATAACTTGATCCGATTTTTCGATCCGATTATCCGATTGTGTAATAACAATAACAATTTTTTTTGTCACCGTATCTTTGTTTGACTTCATCTGCTATCCTTAAAGCAACTTCTGCAAAAGCCTTTTCTAAATGGTTAAATTCGTGATCTGACGAATAAAATAATAATAATATAATTAATGTCGATAAATGTGTTAGAACTTCATTACGGTGGTGTCGTTAACAAACAAAAATTGTAAACGACACCCTAGTGGTGTGGTTCAGTGGTGTCGTTGACAATACACGACGATTTAGACAACGACATTAGAAGGAAATATAAAGACCCATAAGTTGACTGATGTCTCTACAAAACTTTGGTAATTACTTACTATGTAGACTGTATGTATCTTTGTGACTATATGTATATTTGTGACTGTGTGTTTACTGGTACTTATTTCAGAGGTAATAGAGAAAAATATTAGCTTTGAATGTCTACGCAAGACTTGAAACGATTTTATGAACCCTCACTTTCACACAAATACCTGACAAGTAATAAATCACTGCTATTGAGCAGTCATGTGAAGAAGGCTGGTGTAAAGAACATTGTATCATGCAAATCCTTGACCTCGGGTTCTCTATTCAAATGACGATTATTATTCCTGACTCGTATTGCCATTAAAGAGTGTCTACAACTTTGAAAGTGACTACAAGGAAAGTATTCGCGCACAAAACCTAAGCAGTCATAAATAATACGAGGCGAGCGGAGTCAGCTAATGAATTACGAGTGCGAGGCTCATAATAGCAGGTCGCGCGGCGCTAAATGCTGCTCACGCGGTCACAGCCGCACGCCGCGGCCATTGCACGCAGTGTCTGGCCCTGCGCCACCGCTCACCGTCTATCCCTTGTTCATCTCCGGCGAAACAGAGCAAGCGAGCGACGTCAATCTTATGCAGATAGTTCACGCTCTACCACTTGCATCATTGTAATAGACGGATGGATCGGAGTCAACGACACTCGTCGACGAGTCATCGCCGTCATCATTCAACTCGGACAACTGTCTTTGGAACGTACCTACCTTTGCTCGATTATAATGAATCATTACGGGTATAACGATGCACGTTCCGAGTTGATACTGATATAATGCGATAAGCTGAACAACGCATACTGCAAGAGAAAAATTTATCGGAGTCTGCGATGCGCCAAGGCCGCCCAGTCGTTGCTATTATGTAAATAATGCGCTCTTCTGTCGTGTCCCCTGCACCACTCGCCGACTCCCTATACGATCATATCTATATGATAGTGTCTTAGTACCCATGATTATTTTGGAAAACGCGGTAATGATAACCGTATGTCAGAATTTCGGAAGTACCCGATAAACCATTCAGTTTTCCATTTATTAGCTTGTTTTCTAGTGTATACAATAGATGTATTTTATTTGTATGTCGACAAAGTACTCACTTCATTCTTTGAGTTTAACGGATGGTGATTGTAATCGTAAGATTTTCAAAAGTAATCATGAAAAGAGTAGTCACTACCAGATCAAAAAAATCTAATACGTTTTTTCAAGTACGTACCGTACCTTAAGTTTCAAGGAAAGTCTAGAAATATACCTTATGCTTCATCATCATCATCATCATCAACAGCCTTTAATAGTCCACTGCTGGACATAAGCCTCTCCTTAGAAAGGAGGTTTTGGCCTACCTTATGCTTATTATCCCTATTTTGAATGTATTGTGTATCAAGATAGACTAAGCACTTTAAAACAAACACAATTTGTGCTTGTAAAGGCAAATATAAAGTATGTAATTACTTTTATATATGCCGAAGACCTTATTTCACACATTATTTTACATAAAATTGCAAAAGAATTGTATACCTAGAGAGCAGTGTTCAAGTACTGCATTATGAGAAGTATTTCTTTTCAGTTCACGAATACGTCTTTTACTAAAAAACCAAACTTTCTAATTATCAGATGCAGATATCTTGTTGAACAATTTGCTAAATGTATTCAGACATATGTATTGCCCATTGTCGGCGCGTACGTTAAGTACAACATGAATACCTATTATAGTAAAAAGATTTACATATTTCTGATTATTCGATATTTCTTAAAGAAATAGAAAAAAATGGGTTCAATCTCAGAAGATTGAAGAATGACGATTTTTCAACATGTGAATCTACGAGATTTTTTATTCAAAAGATTCATTGGGCAAACCTCTCATTAGATAGGTATTCTTGTATGGTGATAGGTATTCTTGATAGGTGTTCGTTGTAAATCCACTGAGAACTTTTCTTCTCACTGGATCGATAAAAATTAGTAAACAATGTTTTGTTTGCTATTCCACTGTACTGGATCAGTATCATTACATTCGACGAGTGATTTTACTCCGCACCAGGAAAAATATTTACCAACACTATTTTCCAATTTTGTGACAGTTTAGAAAGATTTAAACAAAGGTAACCTAAACGTCACAAAACGAGCATTCAAAATGACAATTGCATTTTATTCGCATGAAGTTCCAAGCTATACTCGCAAATAGAAGATCGCAATAGATTGATTTTCCACAGATTAATATTTGGGTTTTGTTTAAAAATGTGCTAATTTATCTATTAAATAAACCTATTTTTGCTTGTCATTAAATGTTTACTCATCTCCTCATTCATTACCTCATCTTCTCTTTTTTGCTAATAATCTTTTTCACCAAGACAGGTGTCAAGAATTCAGGATATCCATTTTTTTAAATTAGTGATATTCAGAGTTTCAGCGATATTTATTTGTTTTATAGTGAATGCTATAAAACAAAATTTTTACATAAAAAATCTCGTTAGATCCATTTATTTAAGTGCTCTTCTGCCCCCTCTAACATAAAAAAAAATTGACTGAATGAGAAAAAAAATCGTCATTAGATCATCAGGGCCAGTTTATCTTCTGAAATTGAACCAAAATTGAGGGGATACTTAAATTTGTGACGGAGTCTTATTGTTTTATATAATTTATAGAAACCGTTGTAAAGTATAAACACCGAAGCTGGAATATAAATTCAACAGTCAAAATAAACAGAGGATAGTTTTCATATTTTAATTCCGTCAAAGCCATTTTAATGCCAAGAAAGGAAAGATGTTCGACAAATGACAATTTTAATGTCATTGACATTATCTCTCATAAAACACAACCAATAATGATTAGGCTTGATCATGTGTATTTTGGGTGTAAGAGACATTCATATCATCAATTTCTTTTTTACCAAAAAGCATTGGGATAAAATCCAACTTAATTTTAATTATTGAATATGAAATGAAGTCTACACTGACTGCTACAATTAACTTGTGTATTAATGTGTTTAATTACATTTGAAAAAAAAATAACCAATTTTTTTTGTTACTTGCCGTTAGGTAGGTGCTTATGGTATGAATTTAAACATTTTCGGCTTTAATCCAAGCTACGAAATAATAAATAACCCTCCCAAGAGACTGCTTGTTGGCTAATGGTAACTGCATTCCGACAGTGAGGATTGTCGCCGGAGAAAAGTGGCATGTCATTGAACCGTCCTGTGTTGAATTACTCTGCTTCCGCCAACAACCCACAAATAAAATCATCCATCTATTGTGATCCCGTTACTAGCAGTCTTACAACAACAAACTAAACACAAAGAAAAATGAAAACATGGCAAAGACTTCGTAAAGATTTAATAACAAAGACAATTTATGCATTCTCTTGCATCGCATCTAATGTATGTACCTACCTGCCATTCCTGGCAACTGATTCAGCGATGTTATAAATACAAGCTAGGCACGTGTCTTAATTCCATAGAACGCTATTTAATAAAGATAACCACGTCATGTTATTGTCGCGGTGACACCGGATAAGCCGAGGGACCGGCCGATTGTCTCGCGACTATCGTAAATAACTCGTACTGTGTCCGGTGTCGACCACGAATATTGAGTTGCTAACAAACACTCTGGCGAATCCTGGCCGCACGGCGCGGCGTTCAGCCCTCCGTGTCCCTAACTCAGCACATCGCCTTCCTTTCTAACGAGCGAACAAACTGCACGCCAGAACGACACAGCGTCGTCGAGAAACCGTGGTAGAGCGTTCTCTCGGTGTGGCTAACAGGAAACAGCCTCCGCGCTAGGAATACGGATGAGCATGACGTGTGCCGTAAGCTTGTCGACTTGTCTGAACTAAATCCTAATCGATCCTTATATATACCAGTATTGAATTATTACCGTCGTTATGTGTCCGTTTTTGAAAGGTAATACCTAAATATACCTAAGTACGCATTGTATGCACAGTACCTGAATACTATAAATATGTAACGAAGACGAGCAGTTTGAACAATGTAAAGTCGATCACAGGTCATGGACTGGAATTGGTTAGGGGCTACGAATTCCAGGTGAAACAGAAACAATGGACATATGATATAAATAGGTGAAATAAATATAAAGCGGTTATGTTTATTTGGTCTATTTAACTGACTGAACGATATGCGTAGGGTGCATAGAGGGCGGGCAGGGATCGAGCGAGGACGAAGTATAGCTGAGGCCCGATAGCATCGGTGCGCAATGCGCTATAAATAGATGAGCAGGCGGACCCTTGAACCAGCCGCGGTCGTCACCGCGCGCACCCGAGGGTTACTGCTTAATAACTTACAACCTATAACACTACCTATATGATACGACTATTTGTATACACAATCAAAGTATTTATTCACATTCAATTTAAATTAAATGGGTACCGCAATTTATACTTGGATTCTATTTAGTAAAAGTTATGTTTTACACTGAAATTCAGTAGGTATAATGTGAAAAGTACGTAGCGCTGCTATCATAATATCATGTAGTTATTGGTTTAGTTCGATAGTTTAGGATCGATTTCTGAAAGCTTTAATGCCCTGCTTCACTAAGCCCACGTGGAGTCGTCCTTTCCTGTTCCTAGGCATTCGCGTCTCTTCTTCTAACAATCAATATGATCATGACGAATCGTCGCATAAAACGTGACCGTGGGAGAGCTAGTCGTTACTTTTCACCGAGTGAGTGAGGTTCGCATTATCAGATCAACAGCCTTTAATAGTCGACTGCTGAACATAGGCCTCTCCTTAGAAAAGAGTTTTTGGCCTACTATACCTACCACTCCTACTATGCCTAGCCAGACGGGTCTGTATAGGGTTTGTTTCAAGTTTTCCTTCTCTTTACAGTACTGTTGTCCAGCGTAGATTGCTGCCTTCGTCGGCTCTTACGACACCCACGGGATGAAAAGGGGTAGTGACACTCCGTATTCTTAATCCGTCCCTACTCGGATGTGGAGTGACGTTGTCGGAGCCCAAACCTTACAATAGGGGAATGGGAAGAGGGCTCGACGGCAACGCACTTATGACTACTGAGTTTCGCGTGATGATGAAATTATTCATATAACTTTGGATTATGCTAATTGTGAAAGTAAATCTAGTCAAACCAAAAGTTCACTTCAAAATATATGTTATACATAGAAAGGAACGATTACATCTAACGAATATCTAAAGAAGCAGCGATAAATATAAAGAAGTAGAAAGAAGCCAGAGTTACCTGTGACAAGTACCTATTTATTATTCCATTACATCGTACTTTGATTGAAATGTTGCAAAAAGCAAAAAAAAAATGCCACCAAACCGCATCCCTGTTAGTTACTGCTGTACCGCAACAATTCACCATAAAACATACAGGCGGTGGCAACTTCTCGCTATTCGCTTTCATTCGCGCTGCGGACTACGGTTATTTTTTTCACTGATTAGAGTAGAAGATGCGCAACCGGTCGTGAAGCGAAGGCCGCAGCCAGGGCCGGGCTCGGGGCGAGGCGCGCCGCCTCCTCGCCTGCTAATGATGCGCCTGCGCTGAACCACTCCTAATTGGACGAGCGGCGGACCGCTCCAGGAAAAAATACACACGAACCACGCTACACTCACAACACAAAATAATCAGAATTGCAAAATACCACTGAATCATACGAATTATTAAAATTCTGCTAAATGAACTAATAGGGCATCGAATACATGCAAGCGTACAAGCTTAATTATAAAATCGTGTCCTTACTTGGAAACATTTTGATATACTTATTCATAATCATTTATCGAGATCTCTGAGGTGTGAATGTTTAAAACGGGCCAGTTCTGGGAAGTATTTAAGTTTTTGAGTTATATCGCGTGGACAGTTTAATGACAAAATAATGTTTATAAACACCGCAACAGTTACTTTTATTATTTTCTTCCTTGTGTACGTAGAGCGCAGCGTGGCGAATGCTATTACATCAGAGGCACGTAGACTATAGGCATTGCCCTTTAATAACGGTAGAAGTACATTGAAGAGTCGTAGATTGCAGACGCACTAAAGTCTTTCTAGCTGTAGATAATGATACAATTGGCGTTTGTTGTTTAGCAGTTTGCGCTCCCGTGAGATATGAGGAAGTTGCATCTAATTAATATAATGATACTTTATTAGCATTTCTAGTACTTGCATTGTATCTGGTTTTGCTAAAATAAGGTAGTATGCTGAATAAGGTTACAAAAATTAACCTATTAATTGATTGCGTGGCCGTTAAAGATTGCTTGTACTGCACTAAGTAACCTTCCTAATAGACTGAGAGGCGGCGGCAAATTACCAGGGTATCTGTTATATTGATGAAGACCATCAGGAATGATAGTATTCACGTTAGTAAAGAATCAGCGCCATGATTGCCTGTAACCCGTATGATCCCAGGATTGGGGGTAGTAATTTTTTATTGCAAAATTCACATACTTACTTCGTCCATATGTTATAGTGATCAAATCTAAATCAAATTGTTCTTGAATAACACTTTAAACTCTACAATTTGACGTAGGTTTGATCACTATAACATATGGACGAAGTAAGTCATACGGTAAATTTTGCAATAAAAAATTACTTCCCCCACTCCTGGAGTCATACGGAATCCAGGCAATCATGGCGCTGATTCTTACTAACCTTAATACCATCATTGCTGATTCCTGAAGATTTCCATCAATATAACAGATACCCTGGCAATTCTGTAGCCGCCTCTCGGTCCATAATAGTATCTATACGGCCAACAACATATTTCGCACAATCGTTAAACCGACTCTGTAAACACCTATCCAACCTTACTACCAACTTCACTCTACATTCGAAAATTCCGTCCTGTGAAAACAACGTAATGGTTCATTCCACGATAAAATAATAACATTTAAAATTAAAATGTATAATTATGATTCATGAACTCACAAACATCGAACGCTTATTACCAAAACCTACCTTGTAATATATTTTCTACAGTTAAAGTATAATTGTCACTTAAAAATAATCAATGTACTAAAAAGGTGTGGTCAAATTTTTAAAGCATTCTATGTAGAATATGTGAAAAATCTTTTTATGGTATAGGTGAAGACACTTCATATTTTGAGACGATGTTAAACAACATGTCATAAGTTTTAATGTATATTCCAACGGTTTTTCTACATTTTCAGAAAAATTTAAGGTATATCTCGCACAAGACTCGCGTGCACGCATCGGCCACCGTGTCTCAACAAATTCCTACGTGGTCACCCATTTCATTTCATTTAATAGCTTGTCATATTAATTGTACCCGTAAAGCTTTCTTTGTCTTGCGTGAGAGCTTCATAAGATCCTGAGTCGTTTATAGTATAGTTTGCGTCCCGCATCTAATAAAATATTAACCGCTACGATTGAAGCGCGATATAAAGTTGTAAATAAGGCGATTTGACGCGGTCTTTATGTCAGATAATAAAATAAATACGCCTCACTCTCGACCCACAAACGTGTCATTTCAATTCAAGTGACATGTCTCGCCTTCTTATCGGCGCTAACTTGTCTCCGAGATTTCCTGGTTGTACTCTCGTCCTGTAACTTGTCATCTGTTATTGCAGTCATCGATGCGGGTTGACTAACGAAGACTTGAATCGGCGGTGGTGTAAACCGAGTGGCGTTCTGCATCCTTCTATTTATCACACTAAGGTAAGAAAACGTTACTTAGCAAGCATAAAAATTCGAGATCTGAATCATAATATATAAATTTGTTTATGTGTAATATAGGGTCTCATAGAATACCTTGTTCGAGTGTGGAAGAAACCCCCGTTGGTGTATTGTGACTACCACGGACATTCTCGCAAGAAGAACGTATTCTTCTATGGCTGCGCGTCGGCTGAGAGCTGGTGCAGTAGTGACCGTCTAGGCCCTGATGAGCCTGTTAAGTACTTGGTAAGCAGAGTTTTACTTCTTAAATATTAACGACTCGAAATTCAAAACGACAGAAACACCACTATAATTGACTGTTGAACTTACTAATCAAAACAGACTTCTTACAAAACAATAATGGTATAAAAGTAGGCGTGCGTGTTAGCAAGAAATTGTCGTAGCAGAGATACATACAACAGTCACCATCGATATTTACAGGAGTCTTCTGTACGATTTAATCATCTTCTGCATCCTACTTTCTGGATAAACTTAAATTTCATATAGATTGTTTGAAGGGAGAAACTGACTAATACTAGTACGGATTTAAAAATAATTTCCAAAATTTTATTTCGTTTTTTTTATTACAGGAAGAGATTTTATTTGAATACAGTCACCTACAAAAACAATACATGAGAAATACCGTTCCCATTAAAATATGTGTTGCTCATAGTGTTTAATTAAAACTTAGTAGCTGTCAGGCCTGTCGTAATTACCATTTTTATATTGAATCACAGATAAGTCCTTGCAACGATAAAGATATTGTAGGTAATGCATGTTGCAGTACCCACAATATCTTAAACCAGAATATTATAAACTTTTTTATTTATTTATTTTTCTTTCTTTTTTATAAGATGCTGCCAGCGCTCATGCATCGGATATCTCCGGCGTTTGCTCTCGGCTCGTGTTCCTTCCGAGTGGAGAGAGAAAGAGAAAGCACTGCGCGTGTCACCGTTTGGCGTCATTTAGGTGTAACTAGATCCTACACAATGGAGGCCTCGTTCTGTGGCTTCGACAGAGGGCCCTTTAAGGTAATCTACCTATTTATACTGCCTAATGATTATAATCCAAAAATTGGCTGCAAAAAGTATTCTTTTAAACATCGTAGTAAGTGGGTATATGACTGTTCGAAATTAAGGCCCGTATTTTAAAAGGTGTTTCAGTCGTGAATCTAGTCTGAAAACTAATTTTAAGCAGAGAATTTATTATTAAGCTTCACTTAAACCGAGATTCACCGATCCATACTCAAGTGAGTGATAGCTAATTTTAAAACGATGTTTATGTCGAAATCTTTAATCAGGTATAGATTTTGACAGCTCTGATCTTTGCTTGCGTGAGACAATCTGAAACGTATCACAAGCGGTGATTTCTAGGGCATTTTAGGGGAAATGAATGTGTTTGAAGATGACTTGATTCTGAATAATTAGTTTTTTTACGAAAGAATTACCTGTCACACTATAATCAATTCACTTTAATTTACAGTAATTGATATTAAATTCACTAAAATTCACATTTTACACACACAATACTTATTAAAATTAAAATCACCTCAACCTTTTAATTTATGTTAAAAGCATAATATTATTCTAGTAATGTAAATGAAATGTAATAGTTATGTGAAAATTAAATTAAAAACATTGTTTGACATTTCATCATGATAAATAAATGTTGCTAAATAAATTGAAGGTTCCGTTAAACTAGCCATTTTTATTTTAATATTTATTATATTTCATTTTGGACGAACAACAAGCTTGTTAATATGTTGCTACACTAGCCAATAATATATTATATACAAATTTACAGAAATTATGTTTGTAAAAGAAAATTATTTTTTAAATAATTAGCTGCGTATTATGGAATAATAATGTCATCAAACGTAATTGAGAACAGACTGTAAGTTCAAATCAATACTTGAAACTAGTCAACTGAGTGAAACTTAACGCGTTCTATAATAAGATCGATACTTATCTTGATCTGCACTTAAAACTAGTTTCAGGCAATCAGAGTTTAACCGATACTTGAGACGTCTTTTAAAATACGGGTCTAAAACCTTCGGTTCATATTGTTTGTACTTATAAAGAGTATCGTAAACTTAATCATGATAGCAATAAAATAAGTGCCTTAGATTGACCTGCTTTTAGGAATTTTATAAATAAATTAAGTTATTTTGTCTACCCAATTCTAATAAAATTAAAGTATAATGATCGTTTACGTTCAATCTCACCAGTAGAAGCATAAGTAACATTCACAGGCACTTACGATAAATTAAAGGTACCAATAGTACAAAAGTTAGTTCCTTTGATATGCCAGGTATTGAATCCTTAATTAGAAACTGTTATTTCAAGTAACCTTTCAATCTCTCCAACCTTCGTTAACTCGGCACTCATTGGTTTTTCATCGCGTTGAGTTTATGTCCTGAATTAATAGACCTAATCAGGGAGGATAATCGTCTTCTTTAATTATAATCGCTCGTCAATCTCTTACATACTAAACTTAATATTTTCTAGAAGATTACTAAGGGCTTTGTTGTAATGCGAATGTTTTTTATATGGTATCTAATCTTTTAAAAAAAATTGGGTAAGAAGCCGGTTCACGTCTTTATTGCTTTAGGCAGGCCTCATCACTGCAAGTATTTAAGCAGAAAAAAACTACATTAACACTTAGCCCACCAGACTTTATATGTCTAATAAGTTCTGCTGTTCTGCCGTCACGATACGCATCGTACTTTACTTATACTTTAATCAGAAATGACAGTTTATGTTTAGATAAATGATAACGATACTTAGCCAGCCCGACATGTGGGCTAATACATCTAGCGGTGTCCATCGTGTCCAGCCCATACTTAAAGCTAGATCCACCTAATAAGGGTTACGTCGCTACAAATCTATCTACTTTACGTGGGAAGACATCTATACCATCGGTCTTTTATTAGTGACTAGATTTTATCGGTGGTTATGCCTGCTTAGTACTCGGTTATCGCTTAAAATAAGTATTAATTGGACTGTTTATTATATTTATTCGTATTTTATATTATTATTATTTATTCATATATATATAACTTCCTATTAATTTAATTACTTGCAACATGATGTTGTCTCTGAAAAAGTCAATTTAAGAAAGACTGACTTACACTACACGGCGTAAGTTTTATTTTGGTTAATTCTTGCAACAAGACAGCTGAATTTGTCATTGCGAATATGCGCATCAGTTGATCGAGTTTAAGAAGTACGGTTACATATTTCACTATAGAGTGACTGAAGAGGTATCTATTTAAAAACTGCTTGCCCGCACTAGGCGACGGAGCACGGTGCAATGTGAAAACCGCCTAACTATTTAATTCTATTCTTCGGACTTGAGGTAACAAACATAAAAAAGTACAACCAAATTAAGAATCCTTTTTTAAAGTTAGCTAAAATTTGGAAATACATAAAAAAAATAATATATATATATATATATATTTTATTTGAAGCTAAAAAATAAATATTTGGTAAAAATCTGTCGAGACAGCACACAAGTTTTCTTTACACAATCGACTGCCGTTGAAGGCCTATTGTTGGAATGACCTGCTCCTTCAATCAGATAAAGTCATTGAACTACTTTTTACGTTTTCATTTTATGTTTTATTTATTAATTGATACTCCAATAACACTTATTTCTAAGAGCCTTTTTCCTAAACTAGGTTCCCCAACCTAGTTTCCAACGGCTCCTGCCATACGGCTGAAATTCCATTTTTACGCAGAGCGACTGCCATCAGACCTCCACAATCCAAGTACTAGGTGACCTGGTCCGACGGCCTTACGTGCTCTCCGAGGCACAGAAGACCCATCCATAGACTAACCTGGCTGGGATTGCTTAACTTTGCAATGTGTTAATATTTTCGGTAAAAAGTAGACTGGTAAAATAATTTTTAAAATCGGTTTATAATTAGTGGTTTTGGCGTGAAAACGTAACAAACAAACAAACCCACTTTCACATTTAATTTTATAATAAAAGTAAGTATGGATTTGCAATCCTCGATTTAACACTATTCGTAAATAATTTTAAAATAGTAAGGGACTTCCTTTCTTGTTATTTCAAACAAGAGATATATCGCCCGTAACATCTCTACGCTTAATAAAAAATTTAAGCTTGTGTTAGCATATTTCTAGTCATGTCATGCTTTCATCTCTTTGTCAGTATAATTGCGTAATAATAAAATGTAGTGATTTGTTATCACCAGGGTTTCCACTTGAATACGCAGCATCTGCAGAGTGTTGGCTGCGATTTCTGCGAAGCTCTCAACGGTCTCAACGATACCGCCACCAGCGACGACATACAACTCACCAAGGACCTCAACGAGTCAGTATACTATTCAGTTAATAAGTTTCTTAAAGTATCAATTCACAGTTAAACATAAAAACATTTATCTTTTTGTTAAAACGCTAAAGTGTTAGCTAGCAGTTCTAGTTTATTACAAATTTCTACTAAATAAAAACGGTAAACGACCAGGCAATTTTGTACTAAAGAAAAAAGGTTGCTTATTATCAACAATATATTGTAATCCATAAAAGAACCTATGCCTGTAAAGGAGTTGTATTTAATTACTACATGAAAATATTCTTTATAAAGGCCAATGCATTACATTACGTCTGGACGGTTTTGATCCATTCTCGACACTCCATCTCCCGTTTTAAGTTAGATTTTATTTATTGTATAAAAACGTACGATAATGTGTTAAGCTTTGAAAAAGGTTTAACAATCTGGAGTGTAAGTAAAATTGTACGTACATTAAAAAATTGATATTGGAAGATATTGGAACTTGGACAATGTTACATGGGAATCGTGATCCAGAGCGACCTTCTCTCCTAAATTCTCCATCAAAATAAGGTCATTTTAGGATATTAAAAGCTTTCAGCCCTTTAAAACCCTTTACTAAGGCACTTTAATAGTTTTTTGTCGGCTCACATATCTACCATAACACTCGCAAATCTACCTACAGAAGTAATCAACAGATGTGTCGATGGATGGTTTCTATCTATCCGTACTTATAATAACCATTTGTTTGACAGAAATATCATTGAGATAAAATTCACTGGTGCAGTAAAAGACAGGCAAGTCACTTTGATAAAACTAACCCTCCGTGTTTATACAGCCTACAGTTTTTCTGAGCTATAACAAACCAACCATGCATCATATAATTGTTTCTCTGTATGCGTAATACTTTCAATTACTTACATAACACGTGTCCCTCCTCGCATACTACGCCTATTTTTAACTCTGAAGCCTTCCCGCCATTGTTATCGTTGGCTCTTAATTCTTTTTTGTTCTTTTGTTTCTAAATATAATGCTTACTATAATGTGCAGAACGTCTATTTAAAAATAATAAGAATTTAATAATAAAGTTAATAAAAACGTGCGCCAAGTACGGTTTTATAAAGATTTTATGCTTATAGTAATAAATTAAACCACTTTTTGCGTATATTTTTATATCAGTAATGAGTGTCTCTAAAAGTTACAAGGTATTTACACGCCAAAGCATGTTAGTCAGTCAGTATCATACCTACCGGGCAATTTAAGTGTTGCCAACCCAACAACTCGAGCAAGGAAGCTAAAAGCAGGCACCCATTAAAATAAGGCTTCACTATTAAATCTTCTTACCCAACACTTATGCTTACGCCTAGTTAGAGTTTACTTAAGGTTTAAAACGGCCATTATTTTTGCTCGAAATAATACGCTGAAATAGCTAACTATTCCAATTTGCAAAGTCAAAAACTCTACTATCAATAGCCGTTGCCGCGGAGTCATCGAAGTATGCACTATTTTCGTAGAGTAAATTTAAATTCGGTTTCCTCGGGGACACATATTTAAAAGTGATTATTAAACGGGATGTAGCACAAATGTAGTGCAATATTGTATAGTCTTCTAATAGCTAAGACGTAGGCCACGCAGATGACGAACTAAATTGAGAAGTCTATAAATCAATACCTACCAAGTTCCCTAGTTATCTTACAAACGCGTTATTAAGTCTTGTTTACACATGCTCGAACACTAAAACAAGCTCCGACTAGTATAGGTACTTGTAGCGATTATAATCACATACAAGTTTCGCAACAATTTCCCACCTTATTACTCATAAGTATATCTTACAAACTAAAGAATGCACAAAATTGCACTTCAAAGTTTAACATGAGTTTAACAACTTTAATTTGTATTATTATGCTTGTTGCCACACTACTAAGATGAAAAACTCCAAAAACGTCAGTGTTATTTTTTTTTAAATACGACTACAAGTGTTAATGGGTCGCATGTTTTCTGCCACGCTTTAAATAAAATTCTTGTCTTTATTGTGGACGGATGGTCCTGCCTCAGGCAGTAATCCAGAGCCAACGGTATGAGTAAAATTCTTTCAATCCAAATAATTCCTATAATTATATATTTATGCTGGACAATTTCAAACCCGTCTTTTTTATCGAGGATGTTAAGAACCCATATAACCCAATACAAATACAACATTATGTTACTCTTTCTTATAACTTGTTGCAACACGGGGTCACAGACGGCTGGTTTTACAAGAGTCTATTAGCTTGTCTGTGATTTAATAAAGAAAATCATAAAAGATAATATGTATAATAACAGGAAGTTGTAACACTCCCGTTCACATAACAGCTTTGCATTTTATGAGTCTTGGCATGTGGATGTATTAAGTGCACAAACACATTGGATTTTTAATGTGTATTTTAATATAAATGTTTGTCCGCAGTGAAATCGCAGTGGACAGCGAACCTGGCTCCGGATCAGACAGTGTCCTAAAGACGGATTCTGATGAGGATTTCGACTAATTCGAATTACATTAACTTAGGATAAGCACTTATTGCGAAAACATTATATACTCAGGTTTGGTCTGCGTCACGAACTATTGCTACGGTCTAATTGACAAAGAGGTGTTCGCGGCTCTGGCAGATCTCCTTGCGTATCTAAAAAGAGAAATAGTAACAAAATTTAGAAGTTCCAAATATATTCTATCAAGAATACCAAACTAATATTACAACTAGATGCTAGATTAGAAATATTTGAAAGTTACAGAATATACTTAGTGACGATAGCGATATTGTTTTCGAATGTAATATTTTTATTTTGTTATGAAGTTTACACGTTTTAGTTTAGTTATGCTCGTCCAAAAACATTCTGTGTATAACATTGGACCGTGTTTCAGGAAATGTTGTGTATGACCGGATTTGCATAGCTGTATTTAATTTGGTTTGATGTGATAATAATAAATTACGAGTATAAGTCGCTTGTGATCTCAATTACAAATAAAATATGAAATCACTCGGTCTATTTTATTTCCTACTAACTTTCTTTCGTGTTTCCGCCTTCCAAATTATCTATAGCATTGAAAGAAAAATATAAACATATATAAACAAACGAACTTTCAACACATCGAGCTATTGGTATTAGTTGTGGGCTCCGACTTTCGCATTTAGACTCGAGAGTGGTCCTTTATGCGTTTAGGAGAGGTTGGCTAGGTGAGCTAACCAAGCTCTTTCCAGAAGCGCAGAAGTCTCTTGAGACGTTCACAGGCTTCTAGGGGCGATTTTGTACTAGGTATGGTACTAGCCTGTTGTGTGACAACTCCCCCCGCATTCCAGGATTACGTGAGCGGCCGTTTCTTCTGTGGTCAGGATATCTAGTCTGTTATGACTGATTAGTCTACAAGTAACTGCCGTTTTCAATAACCTATCTCCAGTTAAGGACAGATCCGTTTTGCAGCGTGATCTTATTTATCCAACTTTCACAATCGAGGATAAGTGCTATCTATATGTTACCAATGAACGATAGCTGTTTCCCTCTTGAAACGTTTAGTGCTTTGCTACACAAATGCTTAAAAACAAATATTAACTATTAATTTTTTTATGGATTTTATGGTCAATCAACTTTTTTTTTAAATTTGTTTACCACATTCAATCATGAAATAAAACGTTTTGACATATCGAATTAAATTGAACATTTTGGACATGACGTTTGTTTGTGCGCGTATTTTGTGTTAAATTTCATAAAAGTAAATCTTAATGAATCCTGTAACTCAATCCAATCTTGTAGATTAATTCTTAAATTCGTTTAAATTCGTAGTCATTTCATTTAGTCATATAATTCACACATCACTGTCACTGAATTCATCAATTCCTCATAATCTTTTCTTTCTTTTCGAAATTCTATCTGCCCGCGTAACTGGCCAATGTTGATAGATAAACAAATGGCGTTACTATAGTTAGCTACGCCTATCGGAGATTAACTCAAAGCTTATATTGAAACACAAGTTAGTTCGATTACTATGTAAGTTCCTTATCTCTAGTTGACTATCCGTACTCCCAAAGGTTGATAGACAACATCGATAGGAAGTGCTTGTGATTAGTTCATCCACAACAATATTCCACAGAAGAGGACGAGTATACCGCCTTGCGGGCATTCTCTATCAACAACCACTCTAGTCACTTCGCTCACAGTAAATAGAATAGTTCTTTATCTTAGCATGCTGTCGCTCCACCTTGAGATTGTGGAATCAACACTATGTCTAGATAAAGGCACCGTCAATATCGATAAAGGTGCCTATGGTATTGGTATTGGTTGTGGCCTTCGGTTTCCGCATTTAGACTCAGAGTGGTCCTTTATGCGTCGAGGATTGGTTGACTAGGTGAGCCAGCCAAGCTCCTTCCAGAAGGGCAGAAGCCTCCTGGGGCGTTCACAGGCTTCTAGGAGCGACTTTATATCGGGAATGATACTTGCCCATTGTGTGGCCACTCCCTCGCATTCCAGGATTACGTGGACGGCCGTTTCTTCAGCTTCCAGACATCCCCTGCACAGGGGACTGTCCGTCGCGTTGATGATGAATAGTTGTCGGTTCAGGGCTAGATGTCCTGTAATAGTTCCGACAACCATTCTGATTTGCAGTCTGCTAAGACTGATCAATCTGCAGGTGAGTCATGGTGTGACTTGATTCAGCACCAGTTTGGACTCTGTATGCGTAATACTTTCAATTAGCCAACTCATCTGCGGCATCGTTCCCGTGTGAGTTACTGTGCCCCTTTAATCCATTGGAGGAGTACCCCATTGAATGTAGCGAGCTGTTCCAGTGCTTGAAGGCATTCGAAGACAATACCAGAGGTCATTGTTTTGCCCTCTAGTGCCTTTAAGACGGCCATGCTGTCGGATATTATTGGGATGTTGTAGTCCTTGATACCCCTTGACATGGCCGTTGTTATTGCCACACATTCACATTGAAATATGGAACTGTGTTGGCCTAACGCTAGTGATATGTTCATATTTAGGTCTTGCGAGAAAACTCCGGCTCCAGTTCCTGACCTAGTCTTGGAACCGTCCGTGTAAAGTGTAAATACGGACTTCGTTAGTGCCCGATTGACCTCGGTCATTTCCATGTATCTGGATGTAGTATCTTCTTGTGAAGATATGGTGTTTTGGGCTTCTATCGCATGAGCTGCTATCAGTGGTTCGTATTTCACCAATTGATCCCATAATTTGGAATGCGATCCCTCACTTTTGTGCCATAGACCCAGGTGTCTGAGTCTAATGATCGCCATGGCGGCCTCCTGCTGTATGAATAAATCCAGGGGGGGCAGACCAAGAGCCTAGTGTTGATCTTTTGTGATTTAGATTGCTTTCTATATGTGATACTACTCGATGTAAAGCAGATTCTGTTGATTTTCCCATCGAGTATGTATGTTGTCTGTGCTGTAAGGGGAGACTGACTAGCACAGTGCTCCTAATTTCCCTATTTATTAGCCTCTCAAGAACCTCTAATAGAAAGGACGTGAGACTGATAGGTCGCTGGAATTTTGGTTGCGTGTAGACCTTTGCCCGGTTTGGGGATGAAGACTACATTGACTTCTCTCCATTTGAAGGGGATGTAATAAGCACAAAGCACTAAACAAAATACTCTTTTAAAAGCGTAAAGCACTCTTTTCCCTCGACATTCATAAGTCGTGTGAGCCCGATGGAATTTCTCCTATCGTGTTGAAGACGTGTGCTCCGAAGTTGGCACCGGTTTAAACGCGCCTTTTTCGTCTCTCCTACTCCCAAGGCGTCGTCCCGAACTCCTGGAAGGTAGCGTTTGTGCACCCGATCCCTAAAAAAGGTGACCGCTCTGACCTAGGCCTATAGCCATAACTCCTTTGTTCTCTCAGATTATGGAATCCATTATCAACAACCAGCTCCTCCGGTACTTGGATGATCATCAGCTACTCAATGACCGACAATATGGTTTAGGCCGGGGTCGCTCAGCTGATGATCTTCTCGTCTTTCTAACACACCGGTGGGCACAGGCGATCGAGACCAAAGGAGAGGCTTGTGCGGTTGGTTTGGACATAGCGAAGGCCTTTGATCGGTTCTGGCATAAGGCGCTTCTCTCGAAGCTCCCTTCCTTTGGGGTTCCCGAGAAATTGTGTAATTGGGTCACCAGCTTCCTTGCGGACAGAAGTATTAAGGTCGTTGTCGACGGTGCATGCTCCGACTTGAAATTCGTAAATGCTGGTGTCCCACAAGGCTGTGTGCTATCACCCACACTGTTTCTTTTGCATATCAATGACATGTTGCAAACTAGTAGCATCCATTGCTATGCAGATGATAGCAAAGGAGATGCCCTTTATTACGGCCGCCCCAACATTTCTGGGGAAAACGTCATCGAGAGTCGAAACAAACTTGTGTCTGAAATTGAAACCTCCTTATCGGAGGTTTCAGATTGGGGCCGACTAAATCTAGTCCAGTTTAACCCAAAAAAGACACACGTTTGTACGTTCACCGCAAAAAAGATACCATTCGTCGTATCACCTCAGTTTGAGAGCACCTACCTAACTGCCTCAGCCAGCATCGGAATCCTAGGCATCGACATATCGAGCGAAGTCCAGTTTCGGGGTCACTTAGAGGGTAAAGTCACCTCGAAGAAGCTCGGTGTCCTGAACAGATCGAGGCAGTATTTCACTCCGGCCCACCGCCTTCAGCTCTATAAGGCGCAAATCCGGCCGCATGTGGAATACTGTTCTCATCTCTATGCAGGGGCGCCTCAGTATCAGCTTCTCGATCTGGACCGCATCCAACGAAGAGCGACTCGAATCGTCGATAGCCCAAACATCTCCGATCGGCTCGATCCCTTGGCGTTACGTAGAGATGTGGCTTCACTCTGCATTCTCTATCGCATATATCATGGAGAGTGCTCCGAGGAATTGTTCGGACTAATACCAGCCGCAAATTTCCGCCATCGTTCCACACGGCATCATCATTACCTGGCTCCCTCCACCACTGTACGCTTTTCAAGACACTTTTTGCCCCGCACAACCAATCTGTGGAACGGGTTATCGTCTGCGGTATTTCTAGACCGATACGACCTCCAAACCTTCAAGAAAAGAGCGTACTCCTTCCTAAAAGGCTTCATGGGCGGCAATAGTCACTTTCCATCAGGTGACCCGTCTGCTTGTCTGCCCCCTCTAACATAAAAAAAAATGATGTGCCAAGCAGCCTCTGTAAATTTTCACTAGGTGATCTAGAAGTATCACATCACACCTTATGAGCAGGCCTGGAAAGATACCATCAAATCCTGGTACCTTGAAAGGAAGGAAGCTGTTAATTGCCCATTTAAGTTTGTCATGGTTTACAACTTTGCAGGCCGTCTCCTACCCTGTATCGTCTGCTGTTTTTTCCCACCTGTCTTCCCATGTTTTCATCACATCTGTTATGCGACATCCTGGGAAGTGAGATTTCAATAATAGCTCTGAGGCTTCTGAGTCTAAACTTACCATCAGGCCTCTTCAGTGAGCCAAGATTGTTCCCCTCTGCTACACAATATTTATTTGAGTCTGTTGGCCTGATTGTTATTATCTATGTTGGTACAGAAGCTTCTCCAGCACTCAGATTTCCTGGTTCTGGTTCGCCTATAGTATTATTGCCGGGCCTGCGTTAAGGCATCCCAGTGTTGGTCTAGTCGGGCGTTTTGTCCCGGTGCTCTCAAAATGTCCGTGGCCTTCGCACAAAATGATTGGATTTGTATAACAAGATTCTTAGTCACAACTACGGCATAATTTTTATAACAGAAACATGGCTACAAAGTGACGTTTGAAATTGCGATATGTGTGTTATGTGATAATAGATACGAAATGTTTCGCCGTGATCGCAATCTGTTACGCACCGATAAAGAAAGTGGAGGCGGTATATTGATTTGCATCAAACGCAAATACACCGTCAGTGTGCGTTTTGACTTTAGTGGTACAACGGCCGAGCAGCTTTGTGTATCAGTCTCCGCTCGAATTTTACACACACCAGTCAATTTACACATTATTTTGGCGTGTATGCCATCTGGTAGTCCTTATACACCTGCTCAACTCTATGAGGTTAAAAGATCAGTGCAGGAGATTGCGTCGTCTCATTCGTCTGTCGACACGGTCTTGCTAGTGGGGGATTTTAACCTTCCCTGCTTGCAATGGTTCCATGATATCTGCTGGTCAACATTGGCACAAAAGAGATTCAATCGGCGGCTACCATATTTGTTGAGGACCTATTATTTTAAGGTTTACAACATTACAATTGTATTAGGAATACAGATCGAACGATTGACTTGGCTTTCTGTAACCAACCCCTCACCGTGCTCAAGTGCAGTAGCTTTTTGAAGGAGGACAAATATAATCCTACCTCTCACAATAGAAATAACGGATTTATATATTATCTCACTCACCGAAAAAACTAATAAGCGACATACATTTTACCGTAATCCAATGCTAGCCAGCGAGGATCATTTGACAATGTGACAATTTGGCCACTCCACAGCACCTTTTTCTTAAGTATTGTTCTTTTCAGATATTTTTAGAAGTGTGATCAAACTAAAAAATACACCTATTTTTATAAAGAAATAAAAGAAATCATAAAAATCCAAAACTATATTGTCATCAACAACAATAAATCACAATGTTATACTTAAATTAAATAAATTATTTGCACTGGTTTGCATTCTCATTATTCTTTTCACTGACATTACATTTATTATAAATGAAATGTATATGGTTACTTAATATTTATTAAGATTTTAATAGGAAAATACATATATTGTGTCAAAATAATTGGCTTCCGATTGCTAATGTGATGATTATGGTATTTAATAATTAACAAATAATAAATTCTAGTTAGTTAAGAAATTGGTTACAACACTTATAAATATTAACAAAATACTGATATAAAACGACATTATAAAATTATGATTATCTTACAATAATAGTGCACAAAGGTTTTCTACTTTTGTTCTATGATCACACATCCAGGATTGCCTAACCTAAAAATTAAGAAAAGATCAGTATTGTCATAGTTAAAAATGTTGTATATAACTCTGATCTAAGAAAAAACAAATCTTACGATAGTCGCCCAGGGCGTGCACCATTATATTCAATCTCTATTATTGCCAATACAAAAAGTACACAATACACATTCAACGCCGAGGCGACTTTTGCAAGATTCAAGTCGGAATAAGACCCTTATTCCCTTAATTGGATAAACTAAATGATAACGTGTTTGATCATGCTGCAAAAATATATACGTTCTAATAATATATACGTATATACGTGTAATTTAAAATATGAATGTTTAATGTATAATTATTATGATGGATGCGTATCTTATCGAAAATCACGATTCAATCCAGTCAATTTTTAAATCATACTAAATACATACGAGCCGAAATGCGGATTGCATCAACTTCATCAAATATCGAATCGCGGTTCAAATAATTTAATAAAGGTATTTTATTATTGGACGATAAGGTAAGGCAACAACAGGAAGCTATCGACAAAAGAAATGACGACATAGTCTCATAGTCAAATGGTATTTAATATTTACTATAACCTACACCGGCACATAAAGAAACACTAAACCCCGGACGGGTTTAGTAACCTTGAATGACCCGGCTCATTTTCAACCTTATAGGAGGTCAAACGAACACGCAAACAGACAGACAGAACAAAGAAACGATCGCCAAGAGCCGGGCGTGATCAATCACGTTAATTGTATCTCCATATAAGGGATAAGGGGAGCTTTGGTAAACACCATACATCAATACTCAAACGTCTTTACGAATTAACTATAGTACGATGGGTGACGAGAACCAATAAATTACAAAATTGCATCTTACGACTTCCTACGCATATAAGTTTCTTGTTTTGCAAAGAGCACCTTGAGGGAAACAATCACTTTGTATTGAACGACAGACACATGGTAGATAAAAAAGTAGTAAGAAATATAAAGTTTACGCTTTATATTTATGCCGTTAACAAAAAAAAATATCTTAATAACTTGGCAGTAAGACATTGTCTATTAAAATATAATATGTAATAAATGATTTACACATGTGAGCAAAACTTATAAAGTGTCTTTTAACATCGTGAGATATTTATGAAAACGTTTTGCCTTTCAACAATTTTTAATATTATATTACATATTTAGGCAAAGATTGGAGTTAGATGGTGATATACATATTATGTATAGCTCCAAGAAACGAATTCTCAGTAAATCATAGTTTCCTAAATTGTTCGATAAAGAACTATCATTTATCATTTTTAAATAAACACTGTCATCTAAATCCAATCTTTGCTATTCATATTTTTTAGTTCCCACTAGCTTTTAAACATCTACATATATATATTATGAAAATAATATGTCTACACCGTGGAATTTAGGTCGATGGTTTAATACAAGTATGTACTAGAAAAAAAAACAAAGAAAAAAAAACAGGAGCTAATACTTGAAATTTTGTTTCGTACCTGATTGCTGCGTTATTATCTACGCCTGGTGTGTATTTCCACAAAATAAATTAAATACATTTTGATTTGCGGTCCTCGCGAGTATTGTACGATACATACTATTCGTATAAACACCGACTCCGATTACAAGGTGTATATAAAGGACGAAACATTTACTATTTTGTGAGCGGTCGCCCTGCGACCGTCAATAACACCGGCGGCGTTAATATACTCGTACATAAATATTATATACATAAACATTATTTTCACGCCTATCGTAATTGTACACAATCGTCCGGCACATCCGTCATCGACGACGGCGGAGGCGTATATTTACCCGAACTTTTAGTTTAATTCGTCTCTGAACACTGGGGTGTGACAATTCGATGGGACGACCGTCCCCTGTCGCGAGAGTCGGTCAGCCGGAGTAGCGGATCGCGTCGCTCGCGGGGTCCGAGCCGGAGGGCGGGTGACGTCATTGCGCGGGCGCGGGCGGCGCGGCGGCGGGCGCGCGAGGCGAGTGCGGGGCGGGGGGGACGCGCGGGCGGGGCGGCTGGCGGCGCTGGCGCGCCAGGAAGGACTGGCCGCTCGACAGCAGCGCGAAGCGAGTGTCTACGGCGTCGCGCTGGCAGCGCATGCCCAGCTGGTACCACGCCGTGGCCAGCAGGCGCTGCTCGTTGGCGCCCGCCCCGCTCCACCTGCGACAGATATCATTGTCAGTGCCGTTTCTGGGTTTTCTCCCCCGACGTAAAAAAAAAATCAAATCCGGCCGCAGATTTGCTCTATCACGTCAGATTTTTGATATATTCCAACCTAACCCAAAATTCTAAGGCGAAAAAAATAATATTTGAGCAAACTCAACGTCATTTGAAAGCGGAAGACTTGAACTTTAAGATACCCTGTGTACTTTTTTGGGCATAATGAAATTTCAAGGGTTTCATAACCCCAAAAATTCTTTAAAAAAGTGGCGTTTTTGCACTTTTCCGAAGTTTTTTCGCCTCTGGTTGGTAAGAAACTTTGTCAAATTTTGTTGGCCTGTGTATAATTGGTTTTCAGGTTGTTATGAACGTGAGGAGTAGGCAATGACTCACTCAAGCCTGTTGTTGGGGAGGGGCGGCGCGTCGGGCCGGGCCGGGCCCGCCGGGGCCGCGGCGCGAGAGTAGCCCAGCGTTATGTCCGACAGCGACTGTTGGGCTGGAATATCAGGACCTTTTATTAGTTTCATATATTATTGTGCACATTATTTTAGGGCAAATCACATCATCATAATAATCAATCAATATAAATCATAATAAACAAAATCACACAATAATGATGAGATCCATATGACAGCCGAGTTAGTGAATATTTTCTAATAATAATATATGTTTAACAAATCTGTATAATAAATATAAGAAATAAAATAATGAAATTTTATTATAACTTTTCTTTTTTTTTTCTTTTTTAAAAAGACAACTGCCGCACTAGGAATAAATCCTGTGTCGCGGGGGACTTTACAAACATACATGAAACGGACACAAAGTACACCCAGACTCAGAACAACAATTTGTGGATCACACAAAGTGTCGTCCCTTGTGGGGTTTGAACCCACAACACTCGGCGCAGTAGGAAGCGGCGTGGCGACCGCTTAAACCACTACGCGATCCGTGCAGTCTGAACTGTTCTTCTCCGAATCAAAACAATATTAAATTGTTATTGGTGAAAAGTCACATTGCAGATTATGTTCCGCGCTCCCAGCGCGTCACATAAGTCGTTGGACAGGGGATGTAACTATTTAGATAAACATACCGGACGCCCTGGGATCGAGCGACTTGATGACATCCTTGGCCTTCTCGAGGCACTTCTTGTACTTGTCCTCGGTGGCGAGCAGATCCTGGTCCCGCGCCGCCAGCGCCTCCTGCAGTTTGCTGGAGCGCCGCCGCTCTTCGGCTAACGCGGACTGCAGCTCTTCTACTTGCAGGGCTGAGGGACAAAAAGTCACCAAAGATAAGTTAGCAAAATAACCTGAACAATAATACACGGCTCTGTATTTTCACCATTTAAATTTTTGCAATAGTAACATTTCAGATCGATTGTCATTTATTGTATAGGTGTAGTGTCGTGTTAGTTGGTGATCCAGAACCTCTGTTAAATTACAATGATTCTATTCCTGAACACCTGTAATTGGCTTGATGTAGTATATCAATCTGACCATTTCATTTTTGTAGCTGTTGGTTTTCCTAACTGAAGTTAATAAAAATAAAATATACATAGTATATGAAGAGTGCGTATTTATGAATCTGTATATATATATTACATCTATAAATAATGTTTATTATTACTCTTTACGTGTAAGTAAAATTATGTATTCATGTATTGTTTATGTCCAAAGTTTACAGGCAGAAAACGGCCTGAGATTTAAAGCCTCAAAGTATGAAAAACTATATAATTGCCATAAAACTTGGGGATTTTTATTGAAGACATTGCTGCTGCAAAGCCTGATTGTGCGTGTGCAGATTGTTTTAAAGCAGGTGTTTTAGAAATTGAAGTTTAGCTTACATTTGTAGATAACCCCTACCATAGCATGTAATACACAAATAAGCATTATCAAGCGATTTAAATATTGATAAATAAATAAACTATGATATACTTAGGACATATTATTATATATATAAATAGTTTTAATAAAATATACAAATGTATTTCATGTTCTTACTCATATTGCTTTTAGCTACAATAAATAATTAAGTAGTCTAGTATTTAATATGTAGGTCCATGTTATTTTATAAACGCTATTGTGAGCAAGACGTATGCCTCAGATTAGGGATCTTCATATTGGTTTATATTCTCTATGGTTCACTTATACACATTCTTATTACTAGATGGTAATTTCTGACTAATTTATGTCTTTTTTGAATATATCCTGTCGCGACGGATTTTACAAACATTCATGAAACTGACACTAAGGCTGAAATTTATAAAGCGTACTTAGACTTTGCTCAGACTTACCTCACGAGTTAAGTGTGCGTTGAAATTTATAGTCATAATGCTTAGCTCAAGCTGAGCAAATGCTTAGCATAGTCTAAGTCACCAAAATCCATGACTTAGCGATTACTTACGATTAATATGCCAGAGTCAATGTGAAAAGATGGTTCGATTGTCCAGGAAGAAAAGCCGTAATCTAGTTCGAAAGCGTTGTAACAGAAGTCCGTAAGGGTGTGCCAGGGTCAAGATAAAAAGTTAATACAAGAAATTGATATATTTGCGAATGAACTCAAGACGAGACAACCTCAAATATTGTTATGACATTTGACAAGTCAAATATACGTACGTTTTGTTTTACTTGTACATGTGTTATTTTTGCCTTTTATCACTTAAAATCAATGAAAACTAAAGGTGTTAATTGATTGAAATACAATAATATGATAAAATTTATAAGATTACTAATATTTTAGGTTATTACAGCTATTTTAAAAATAATATATTTTTGAAATACCAAGAATTTAAATTAATATGCTATGCAAATCGAAACGTTTAAAAATTTTTCCTGAGATCTTGCTTAGCATACACTCAGTAAATTCTTAGCCCAAGAGGACTATAAATTCGAATGCTAAGATTACACTGAGCAGGAACTTAAGTAAGTTTAGCGTAAGCAAAGTCTGAGCAAAGTCTAAGTACGCTTTATAAATTTCAGCCTAAGAAACACCCAGACTTAGAACAACAGTTTGTGGATCACACAAAGTATTGTCCCATGTGGGAATCGAACCCATAATACTCAGCGCAGCAGGAAGCGGTGAAGTGACCGTTTAAACCACTACACCATCCATGCAGTCAGTTTTTGCGAGTTGTATTGAATTAATATAGAGGACTAACATTTCCTCTGGTTATCTTCCATGGCAGTAGTGAGCCTGGGGTTAGGGGCTTCGAGCGTGGCTTCCAACTGCATAATCCGTTGGTTTGCCTCGCGGTTCATCGCCCGCTGCTTTTCTAGTCGAGCCACGTAATCTTCAAGAAGGGCCTAGAAAACACATTCAAGTATATAAAATAATATTACGATCAATTGTGAAAACTTTGAAAAAGGATTTCGAATCTACTTACCAATAACGGTCTTATGCACAAGTACTCATTGTCATAAATTTAGACACAATATAAAATTAATGGGAGCGAGAATTACTAGCAGCAAGTAATAATAACAGCGGTGTGGGTAGCCAATGCGCTTTAACACAGCGGTATAAAAATGAGATTCTCTTGTTATAAACACGTTTTACATATCAATTCATTATTAAAATTTCTTTTTTCATTTAAGCATAGCCTCAGCAAATATTAGGGCATTGCAAACAGGGGAAAATGATTTTAATTACATAGCGCATAAAGCAACAACATTGCGGTGAACAAAGTTAGATACTTGAAATGTTTAAGCGTGTTTTGATTACACATTATACACAATTATATTTATCTCACATTCTGAGTCAAAGGCAGAGACGAACCATTAATTTCATTCCATGTCATATTTGGGGTTCCCATCAAACATCAAGGAATGGACCAGTTTAACATGAAGATAGATCTATCTGAGATCTACTATGTAGAGTATATTAGAAATCTCATTTGTGAGTTATAAGTATATTCTAAAACTGGTTGTACATGAGTATTATATATATGAGTTTTACAATATTATGTACTTTTAGTGAAAGAATATGAAGTACTGAGTTTTGTGGCAACATATTATTATCCTATATTGTAGCGTAGAGATCCAAAATCATTTCAAAAATAAGTTTCCTTCTATATTAAAATCGTACCTGTACCGATGCCTGGTCTGCCTGGGCACCCTGGTTCTGTCGCAGCAATTTGTTCTCGTGCTCCAATCGAATCAATTTCTCCTTCAGATCGTTGGCCGTTTCACTCATCTCCCGCGATACGTTGCCTTCATTAGCTCCTGAAATTGTGAGTCTACTCGTAATAATAAATGCCTATTTGACCTTCAAGAAACATTTATATTCATGATATAAACCAGAGACATATTATATTTATAATATATACAATGTTTGAGTGCTCATTTCTTCGGTGCTTATTCAAAGTTACCGCTACCGACAAAGCGGAAAACCGGGACGCAATTATAGCTTGTATAATTATATAATTATAACCGTGTTATGCAAACACAACGGAAATCAGCAGAATAGCTATTCAACAGTTTCAATAGATTATATACGAAACTTATACTTAACGTAAATTCGAAAAGACAAAATAGTCACATTAACTTAAATAGAACTATATATATAAACTAATTTTTTGTCATTTTTAGTTGCATAAAATATATTACAGAAAAATATTCTGTACATGAGACCAGAAAACTAATTGAACGAAAAATACATAAAAAACTTTTGTCTCTGCGTACAATGAAAATGAGATTATTTGAAGAATATGTAATTAAAATTACCAATTTACTACGTTCCGGGGCCATATAATACTCATGAAATGCGGCAGATAAGTCAATAGTGTAGTAGCCAAGGCGTAAGGTAAGCTTTCGTGAGGCATACAGTTCGAATCCGATAAGTACACTAATGTCTTGGATTTACTTCTATGCTTAATTAACACGATGTTCTAAATGAAATAGAATTTAATAACTATATATACCCACCATATTTTTAGAATTGCATAGACCCCATGAATTATATAAAGCAGTAATAATTTTGGGAAAATTATTGCTTTTTAATACATGAATATTCATTAAAAACGAACTATTTTACTGAAAATCGAACGGTAAAGTCCACACCTTTATCCTATAAAGGGTTTATTCCTGAATAAATACACCTAGCAGTTAATATACAATAGTTTCTATATAATATAGCGTGTGTACATATAAAGTGGTTACCTGCAGTAATGGTGGAACAGCGCAACTCGTCGACAGTATCTCGCAGCGTGTCACGTTCCTGCAAGAGCGTGTCTCGCTCACGTTGCAGTGACATGGCGCGACTGCTCAGCTTTTTATTTTCGATCTCCAACTTGTCAGCTTTTGTAATCTCAGCGTCAAGTTTCTCGTTTAAATCTGTCACCTGAAATATAAAAAATAGAATGTTCAGAATAAGGCAATATTTGGCTTATAAGACAGGTTAAAGTATCTGTATAGGCACGAATGATAACTGGTTATTAGCGAATTAAATATAAAGTGAAAAAACCATTTTATTGCGATGACTCTCTTTCTTCTAAATCTCTAACAGCATAGTAAAGTTAGAGAGATGTTTTTTAGATTGAAGGCTGTTATCTCAGGAATCTTGCACGGAATACACATGTAGTTATTACTTTTGTGAGATACCTACGGGGAATGACCTTTACCATTGACAGCTGATTGCATAAAAAGTTTAATTTTTCGGCAGAAAATTGCAATGATTTTAGATTCAGAATGTTGGTCTGAATACACTATTTCAGTATTTGTTACGACACCGTGTATACAATAATGAATTTTATAAAATAATTAATTATATAATAAAATACCTGACCCGCGCAACTTCGTTCGCTTCTTTTAGAAGGAATAATTTTAATGCCGTTCAAGTAACATTTTTCATTGAAACTCGGCTCTTATTGGTCGTAGCATGATGTTTAATAGCTATTATTATTCCTAGACAAAGGGGCTATCCAACACTAACAGACCTTTTTTATTTTTATTTATTAGTAGAAACCGTTTCCTGACAATAATGAACACAAAAAAAGTAGCATACGATTTGGTGCAGTCGTTCGGAAGTTATGTGCGTATTTATTATATATTTCGGCGATTCATTTTTGTTTATACGAATATAAATCTATACTTAGGCCAAAACTTCATTCCTAAGGAGAGGCCTATGTCAAGCAGTTAAAGGCTATTACATCACGTGACTAGGATTAGATTGAGGTGAAAGGGTATGCAACTAAACTAACTCCTTCTTAGTTTTACCTTTAACAAAGCAAGAAAGTTAAAATTAATTTACATTGGCTGAGTTACTGACTATATCAGTTATGCAAAGACCTATATGTGTACTAAATCAAAAGTAAGACGAAATTCGGAGAATGTATCCACGCTAGGAATACCATTAATAAAGTTTTCTGCTTAATAATAGGAACAAAAAAAAAACAATGGGAGGAGATATAACATAACATGCAAATAACAACTGTAGTTGAGTTTTTATAAGCATATCGGTAACCGCTTGCCACAAGACGAAGCATGTTTTCGTTTGCTTAATAGGGAATATGCACGTGACACCAAAATGGACAAAATATTTTTATTTGTAATTTTTATTGCTAAAAAAAGATACCCATACAATTATTTTTGAAATTTATTATAATTTAATAGTGAAATTTAATCATCAAAAATTGGCTTTTTTAAGATTCCCTCGCAAATTTCTAAAACGCAACGCTATTGGTTGAATAAAACGTGACGTCAACCTACACTGTCAAGAGTGTCAACAAGTTGTGTGTATTTATAATATTTGGTTTCTGGTGATTATTTGTTTCATTTTAAGTTAATAACTCATACGTTTTCACTGTTAAATTATTAAATTTCCGTGTAGAAATACTCAACACAATGACTGAATATACTTTGTCAGGTGCAGTTTTGATATTATTTGGGCACAAAGGAACGGCAAAATATTTATAATAAGTTTTTATTGGCTTTTCCACGGTAATAAGTTAATTTTTATCACTCACTTTTTTAACTTTCACAAACTTTGTGTACTTCTCTCCGTTGTTGACATCGAATTCGTCTGAAAGTGTAATCTTACGTCACAAAAAAAGCGCGCCAAAATGGACGTGTTCAAATTGCCCCAAAATGATAGTGATTTTAATAAATATTTTTTTGCTTAACGGTTTATATTTCGGATGTGTTATATTTATTTTTGGTAATGTAATAACTAGTAGAATCGTTTAAAACAAAAAATACATGCATATTCCCTATTGTATTTAAAGGCATAGTGACCTGTTTCTTGTAAATGTCGAGCTGTGCCCGCACAGCATTGGCTTTAACAGCAGCCTGGTCGTGTTCTATGGCGCGTTGCACATGCTCCGTGTTTGCACGCTCTAGCAACTTCACCTGGAAAATATTAAATAACAATTAGTTTCTAAATACAATTCATAACAAACCAGAGGGCAGTACTTATCGACAGCCCCTTCGCAGCGGTAGAAAGCAAAGTGCCGTGAACACTAAGTCAACATTATCAATTCTTATTGTTAGTGGTTGTAAAATATGAAAAAAATAAGTAGGTATTATTAGACACAAAGTTGTATAATATTTTCGCTGCAAATATGTACAACCAAAAAGTTGTAAAACATATAAATTACTCGTACGAGTATGAAATAATAACCTGTCGTCGTAAGTCAACGTGCTCCTCCATCCGTTTCTTGTATGACGCAACAGCAGCCTCGAGCGTAGCCGCCTTCGCAGCCGTCTCACGTAGCGCATCTAACTCATCCTTCAGAGTCACGTTCTCAGTCGCCGCCATCTGCAACAGACGTTTATGGTTTTATTAACGACATATTATGAAATATTTTTTTCATCTATGTAGCCTCTACAACATTTCTGGTGTTCGCAATGGTCTTCAGAATGTTCAATCCTGCATGCGAAACTGAAAAACTTCCAACTGATCGAGATTGCTCTCTCCAAGATAAGTTTTGACTTTTAAGTGAGAAAGATCTGGCTGCAGAGTAACGTTGAATATGTCAATTTTATACTTTTATACTTTTTGCCTGTTTGACAATGAGAACGTTTGAAAGAAAATTGGCACTGGCCGCATCAAACCTTCTGATCTAAAAGCCAAATATCGGGAATGCACGCAGTACATTCTGTACACGCTAGGAATGTGCGCTTAAAGGACTTTCAGATTACCCCCATACTCTTATATGATGCAAACCTAAGCATTGTACACCGCCTTGCATACGAACTTAATCGAACCGAAGTTTTCTGTCAATAACCACTCCAAGAATTCGTGTTTCGTAGACTTTCTGTAGATTGTAATAGCCACACGGCTATTACAATCTTTTACTTAATTAGATACCGCTGAGTATATCTTTTTACTAAATCTATGTGGCTACTTTTGTCAACAACCTGCACTGCGTGATTTAAACTGCACCCCTCCTCCACGCAACTTAAATAGTTGTGGACGAGATCAGTAATAGTTGATCGGAAGAAAAAACTCACTTGCAGTTCCTCATTCCTAAGCTTATACAAGGCCAATTCTCGTTCCGCGGCGTCAGCTCTGGCATGTTGGTCATCCCTTTGCAGCTCCACTTTATCTAGTTCCTCCTTCAACGCGTCAAGCTGTGCCCTCATAGTTGTGTATCTCAAGGTCCCAGCATGAGCGGGCCCTAGTGAAGCCCCACCCTCGTCCAGCTCCGGCGACCAATTCTCAGCCGCGGTAGCAGCCGCCCGCGCTGCGGTCAGGCGTGCTACCTCGCTGAGCAACGTCATCTTCTCCTCTTGGAGAATTTTTAGCTAGAACAAAACAGTATTTCAGTACAATTTAAAAACTCTAATCATAACGACGCCTGGGTAGTATACAAATTTTATGAATAAAGGTATTCTACCTACGTCGACAGGAGGTTTAATGGAATACAACTACTTTTATGAGCATCTACATAGCTTGCACTTTTCGTTCAATATAAGAACTATGCGATCCCTATACCAGTGCAGGTGCAGGCTACAGTTTTATAACATTTTTAGTGAGTAATAGCCCCAATTTACAAGTTCCTTTAGTTAACCATTTGATACATCACCGATATTATTCATAGTCTATAAATACAAGATTAGATTATTTTTGAACCTAAATAATGAGTTTGCGTTTGTGATTCTTTCAAAACGTAACTCACAAACGTGTGTTTAATTGGTTTGGCCCATGTTTTCTTACAGTTATGTTAAATACTGTACGTACTCAATATCACCTATGGGACAAAATCCATCAATTTTAGAGCGTTCTTATCAATCAATGATAGACGACCACTAATTTTGAATCATTAAATTATCAAATTAATACATACATATGTATCTTATTTACATGACCGATAAACAGTGATAACGTACATGTTTTTAGATTATTTTGGAATTTACTACTTCGTTTACACTTATACCTAACAATGTAATATAATTTTGGTGCCTGGGAAATGAACAAAGATGTCCGGATAATTTTAGCATTATTTCATTGCAGGCAGCTCCAATATGCAATCATATTTTTATAATATAAGCACTAATTAATTCATGTTGATGCACAATGTTTCACACAATAATAAAACTTATTATAATACAGCTGGAACTGACCTACATATTTTGTATTACATCATTTAGTGCCTTCAATAAAAACTACAAAACTTAGACTTAGTAGGGATGATAATTATACACTAAACCACATCGATGGCCGGAAAAGCAGTTGTCTTATTTAATAGGGGACAAGATTGTTGCCATTACTAGACTGTGTGCTGATACAAAACATTTCTAAGAGATTCTAAACAAAACTTACGGCAAAAAGTAATACGAATATCGTCCTGGGCATCAAACTCAGATTAAGGACACGAGCTTATTTAGATCCTTGTTTACAGTAGGTAGGTAGTATCGTGTGGACTGCCTACTACATTTAGTTATGTGCAGAAATGTTTATATAAATGATACTAGTCCTACAACTCAGTAAAAAACACACAACGCGCCAATAAAGTACATAGTATCACCGTCCCATGAAACTCAGGTGAACTAGACGCTGTGAAGGCACTGGACTGTTTCCACGGACTGGACTATATTCTCTAACAATGCTGGGATAATTTTACACAATTCTAAAATAATTTAGTGTCGCGATCTATTATTTTAAAAGAAACATTACGCACAGTAGGACATTAAGCACGAATAGTTATAAAGATTCTTAGAGGTTTTTTTTTGTCATCACCTTAAAAACAACTTTTTCATTTGCCTCCAGGTTAAAATTGGAATGAATTCGGGTAACCCTTAACCACCTATCCATTTGTTTGCCATCTTAGTGATATGAACACGATAATCTCTACGTGCCTCTCGCTTAAAATTGTAATGAATCACGGTAAACGTTTCACATCATCAGCCTTTAATGGTCCACTGCTGGACATAGGCCTCTCCTTAGAAAGGAGGTTTTGGCCTAATACACCACGCTGGCCAGACGGGTTGGTATAGGGTTTGTGTCAAGTTTTCCTTCTTTTTGCAGTGCTGGTGCCCTGCGTTGTTTTGCGCCCTTAGTCGGCTCTTACGACACCCACGGGATGAATTGGGGTAGTGACATTCCGTATTCTTAATCCGTCACTACACAGAGACGTTAAACGTTTACCACCTTAGGACTATACATTTGTTTGCCCTCTTAGTGGTATGAACACGAAAGTATTATGTATATAACTATATACATAAATTAATAGTAACGCAATCGTAACTGGCATTGAAATAGCAATTTAAATGACCTTTGTGATCACTTACTTGGATACGCTCTTCAGCTAAATAAATATTTTAAATAAATAACTTAAGTATTAACGTGAACTTGTTCTGTATTATATTCATAACGACTATAGTATACATCTTAAAGTTACGATAATATTATAAATAAACAATTCCTAAATAGAGTTGTTTATTTATAATATTATCGTAATTTACCGTATGAAAGAAAATTACTAGACTGTTTTGCTATAAAAAGTTGTAAAGTATACAAAAAAGAAATTCTCTAAATCGAGACGCATGAATCTAATTAATTATTCCATACAGTTTTTGTACCAAAACAAGTAGACTACAAAACAAATTTACCTGTGTGTCCAGCTCATGACACCTCTGCGCCAGGGCTTCTTTCATGTCGGCATCAGACTGCTCCGCCGCCGGCGTGTCCAAGTGCACACTGCCACGGTTCGCGCCCGGTGTTAACGTCTGAAGTTCCTTTCGAACAAACAACACTCTAAACAAACCACTAACCCAATTTCACTGTACGATTAAACTTTTACTTTTAGTTAAACAGTATGTCTACGATATTCTGCCTCCAGTCAACACCCAGCGCGCACACATCACGCCACAAGTATAACTGTATCGTGATCCAAGGACATTAAGTATATGCGTTACTAAAACATTCAATTTCTTTACCGCTCCAAGTAATGAGCATGCAACACTGAAAGCGTTAAGCAAGAATATACACTAAGTAAATCTTGCAACGATGAGCATTATACTGTAACGTGCCCCTACTATATGTAAAGCCATTAAACTTTAATGCATGAAAAGGTAGCCTGAGCTAACTTACCTGCTCATTAGTTACGGATGGATAATGTTTAATTAAAATGTTAGACATTTCATTTCTATTTATAAAAAATATGTTTTACTTTTATTATAAAAATATTTCATAACTTGTTTTACAGTGAACACAAAAAGTTCTTAATATTAGCCGGCTTAACTATATTCTTAGTTTTTGTACGTTCATATTCTACACCATACTTAATTATACCTTTAATAGAAAATTTCATTGAAATTGGACTCATTCCAACACTTCAATTTCCCACTAAGTACTCTCAATAAGTAGTAAGACTTGCAATGGTTAGGGAACATTGACTAAAGAAGTTACATGTCAAACTAGTTAACAATATTATTTTTATTTATTTACATATATCTCTATATTGTACACTGCTACAGTATTTTATTTGTACAGATATAGATAGACATCTACATTTTGGTATAACACTAGGCGGTCTTATTGCTCACGGCGATCTCTTACAGACAAAATATAACAATTTTTTATAGCAATTCCTATCCCTATCCCTAGACATCCTGATAGAACCGTCATTAGGTGATAATTGTCTATTTTTAAACGAGATCAAGGCACTAAATTTTGTAATATGTACCATAATAATTATAAAATAAAAACAATCGCAATGGAACTTAAATATGTCGTGATATTCACTACTCAAAGTTAACTATATTTTTAAGATCACCCCTACTAACATTAAGCGCGAAAATCTTGAGCTCCGTATCCACATTGACGGATGTAGACACTTATAATTCGTATTCGTATCCGTAATCGCGGATACACTTTTTTGACGATCGACATCACTAATAAAAACATTTTTTTTTATTTTTTCACACAGCCCATTTTACAGTCCTATAATGTACTATAAGAAAGAATACATCCATTATTTGCAATTGAAGTCTAAACCATTAACGTCCTGTATTTAAGGAATCGAGGACACTTATTCTCATTTACAAAGAGAGTGATTTGTTTACTATCAATAATTAATAGTGAAGAGCGCGTCGCATTTCTTGAGTACAGACAATTTCTATCATACGTAGTTAATGAATTATACACACGTTATTCGACTTTATCTAACGACGCTGTTGTTACATTCGGTTCGAGTCGACTTTAAACCACTAGGTGTTCCGTCACGGTGGTCAATGACTGAGGCCACGGGCAAGTATTTTCCTCTCTTCTAAACATGTTACCAACTTTATATTTACCTACTAAGCTCTCGTAATTACATACGTCATTTATGAAAATAATTATATTTCACACATATTTCACAAACGAATTCTTAAGTAATTAATTGATTATTTAGGCACTCGTATTTATGTAATAAAAATTATTACTTTGCCTACTGTGCACTGAGTAATAACATAACAAAATGGTAGCATTAAAATCGTTCACGTAGTGGGAGTGAATTGTATTCGTGCAGTAATTGTAAACATTTAATTAGATTGCAAATATGTGCAAGGTCGTACGTAATAGAAATAAACATTAGGCACGTTTTATTTTTGGTGTTGGTATGTAAAATATAAATTAAATCAATTGAATATGTTTAAAGAGGCCTGACGACAAATCATCTGCCGTCTTGCAAACTTATGGACTCCAGTACCGAAAATAAAGCTTAATAAAGACTTATTTTTTATTTTTATTGGTAATATTCTGGTACAGTCTCTTCAATTATCTGCTTGACAAGAAAATATTTTTTTTGGAATATTAAATGAATGATTAAGTCAAATTTGAAAAAAACAACGATAGCTAATAGTAGCTCTAACCAAGTGTGCTGTGATGTTAAATTTAATTATGGTAGTACATATATAATAACAGTAGTAGAACGTAGTTAGAATAGAAAAAAGACAAACGTTAAAACCAAATTCGTGATTTTTAAGACAGAAATCCTAAAAAGTTCAGTTTAAAAATTAACCGATACAGTTATTATGTCGTATGAGTGGCTGTGACATGAACGAAGCTATCGGTATTGAACACCTAAGATGTTGACGGAATGACCAGATTGTTGTAGGCATAACGATAAAAGAAACAAAAGGTGACCGAAAACTGCGTTCATTAATGTTCCTGCGTTCCTTAACAACCCACATTAAAAAAGCAGTAACCGAAACATCTAATGTACTATCAATCAACTACACATAACGCTCCTATTATTTGACCACAACATCCTGTAACAGATTTTGTTTAACATTTTCGTGATTTTTTTCAGGTTCTAGAGTAGGGGACAGACTTAAAGTTTAATACTTCGCGAACAGATATGCCACTGTGGGATAAACGTTAAAAAAATATCACCATGTCATGTATAAGGAGGTACAAGAGTATCTTATTACGACTACGGAATCCTGTAAACTAATTAAAATATATGTATAAAACGGCACTATAATTGGCTAAGACTGTTTCGGATCGAATGGTTAGGGGTTCAATAGAGTAACAACTTTTGTAAATGTAGCTGGCATTGGAGATACGACTATTTTATATTTTTTCTCTAATTAAAACAAAAAAAAACATTAAGTTTAAAAATTACTTTCAACAAATAAAATTGATTTAAACACACACACACACATGCGCACTCACACGCACACCCACGCGCACTCACACACAAGGTCCGAGATATCTAACATATACATAGAACTATGAATAAGTACCTGTATGGCCTGCATAATTGATCTCTGGAAGGATAGTTCCATTTCCATTATTCTTGTTATGTATTCTTCTTTTTTCACACAGTTGACCGCACAACCTAAGAATTACATATATAGAATGAATTAACCTAAACTGAAAACTATATACACAGAACACCACATCTGAAGTAATAGTATTTAAAAAAAATAAAGGTCTTTAATATTATGTTGATTAACTGTTTTAAAAATTCAAATCAAACACATCCAGTTTTTCTAAAGTTATGAAATCAAGTTTTGTTGTGATTAACGTTCGGTAAAGGTTACAATGTTTATGTCTCAAGCAAACAAATATTATATGTGGTGCTGTATGAATTTTATAATTAGTGTTGGCACTTAATAAACTATGACAATATTCTTAAAAACATATAATATTTAATGATGTTGATTAAAAATCAGAATGCCCTAGCAGAAAGGATTTTGTGTCTAAGTGAAACTATAAACAAAAATTACTGTGTTTCAGTCAAAAGTGACTAAAACACATCTCAATCTCGAAATCAAATCAATATCAAATTTAATCAATATGAACATTCGGCACTTACTTAAAACAAGTTGAAGCAATCTCCCCAAGTCAGACGGATCTGCAGTTTCGGCTATATTTACTACATCTGGCCTTGAAAACTCTTGTAGGCTTAAATTTAGAATGTCTTGGTGGTAATCTGTGAATAATACTCTAAATTTTTATCAGGTACCCAGTATATGAGTCAGGAAAGTATTTACATTCAAAACAGTATATTTGTTATTATGTATACAATAACTTCCTGTCTATTGGATTGTTATTCATGTGTACTAAATTGAGTAATACTCCTAAAAAAATACATACAGTAATGAGTTGTATGCAATTATGTCATGTAAATTTACAAGACAAAAACTTATTACTACTATACATAGTGCTGTAATTTGAAATTACCGCACAATTACAATTTATTTAAAATAAAATTTCATTGTTGCTGATACATATTGTTATGGCATATTATTTTTTAAATGTCTAATATTAACATATAAAATTGTCACGTACACCAGAGTAAAGCACCCATATTTTTTTTTAATTATCTAACATTTATATTATGTCCAGAACATAAATATGGTAACAGAAAATTATATAGATATAATAAAACTAAAAAGCCTGCTTTTTGGATTAACACATTAACATAGTTTTTTGAAATTGAAAGTAATTCCAGCGCTGTTTGTCCTGGAATTACTGTCAATTTTAAAAAACAACATTTCCATTGAAACCACACAGCAGAAATGATTCATATTTGAACATAATAAAAATAACAGAAAAATTCTCTATATTTATAATCTTAAAACAAAACTTTTTCTTTTTTCATTACAAATACCATTTTTTTTTTCTCAGTGTTAAAGCTAGATTATTGGCATTATTATGGCCAGCCTGGTAAAGTAGGCTGCCATTTCCTTTTTAAGGAGAGGCCTATGTCCCACAGTGGCCTATTTAAGACTGTTGATGATTTGATCAGTTTGTGAACTTATTTGTTTTTTGCACAACAAGGTACATTTGATAGCACAGAAATGATTCTTTAGAAAGGTTGCACTACAATTCTTATATTTAAATCCAATGGAAAAAAAGAGGCTCAGCCCTATTTTAAAATGCATTTCCTTATTACATGTCTTATCATGTTCAAATGTGTTTCACTACTACCTGTACCAAGTTTTTTTGCCTTATATAACGGTTTGCAAGCAAGACCTCATCATATTATGGGCAAATTTGACACATCTCACACACGGCAGTCTGATCCAAAACTAAGCAGAATCTGTACTATGGTCACCAGACTGCTGATGAACATACTTATATATTTCTAAATACATACATATTTTAGATAAATTACATGCAGACATATATTATAGACACATATTCTAGACAAGTTATGCTTACACACAGAACAAATGATCGTTCTCATCACACAATTATATGTCCTGGGTGGGAATCGAACCCATGACCTTTGACTTAGCAGTCAAGGTCACTTATCAGTAGACTAACCAGCCAGTGGATGGTGTTATAGTAGTATGAGGTTAGATATGTAAAGAGTACATACCTACAACTCCCTCCAATATTTTTTTCAGGTTGCTCACTTTTAATCTCCAGTTAAGTCCTACATCTGTCTTTATTTTGATATTCCAAGTGGGAGTGAAATATTCTGGTGCTATTTGGGTAAGGGCTTCAGCTATCGCCACCCCATCAGATAATTCTGAAAATAAGATATATTACTAAAGATACCTTTTCCTTTTAGTGAATTGCATTATTTTGATATTTCAAGTTTGATTATCATTATGTCTGTGTCTGGAAGAGCTATTTGAATAAATTGGGAAAATATGTAAATATATTTAAATTAAGCCATTTGTTAAAAGAAATCTGAGATCTATGTTCAGTTTTAACAACAAGTGTACTTACAGACTATGTCATTGGACATTGTATATTAAAGTTTTCAAGACAAATTAATCATTTATATAATACTTTATTATAAACACAATGTTATGTTAAAGTCAAACACATTCACTTTTGTTTAAAGTTTACAATAAAATTATCACTGGCTGTGTGGACAGATGTCAGTTCTGTCTTTCAAAAAATATTGTACACCAATAAGACTGAAGACTACTTGTGAAGAATGAGTACTAGACTATAATGGCGAAAATAATTGCAGATTGAGCAATATCACAGCCAAGGGAGTGTACAATGATGTCTCAATGAAATAAAAACAAGAAATATGTGTCGAAATTATCCACTTAGTGGCCGACGCCTAATAGGGATGAGGGGCGATCCTGCTCGGTACAGTAAAAACATAGTAATATAGGAAGAACTGACTGCAATATTAAATTGATTGCATATTTACCTGAGGGATTTCCATGTTTTGCCTTTAGATCTAATGTCTGCAACCACTTGATCAAATTGTCACATAAAACAACTCCATTTGCCTCCATCCTGGAGAAAATAATGATAACTCAGTAAGAACTAAATATTATTACTTGGATTTCTGACACGAAAACATTATATTTTCATAGTAAAAGACCTAAAAAGTTATTAAAGAAGAATTAATAAATGTTTTTCGTCGTCCGTAATGCGTGACGTCTGCGTAAACGTTTGTAAAGCCAGTTTCCCTCTCGTGTCATACTACCCATTTGAAAGATGATAATATTATATCTAGAGATTTAAGTCCCAAGTGTGTTACTTTTTCTCTACTAAATTTTGGGTTAATAGATATCGCTACTACAATTTGCTAATGTAATCAAAATAGTTAGTTCTTTTTTGGATTTGACGATTTCTCTAAAATGATAAGCCAAAATGAAGCATTTATGAAGTATGTTTTACTTTATTGGTTAATTTTCTCTTAGTCAGACCCATAGAGATATAAGCACAGAGTTAACATGAGAACAATCTGGCAATAAAGGCAACGAGAGAGGTGGATGCTAGATAGTTCCCTCTATTTCTTTCTAGTTGAGCTCTGTGGTTGGCTGGGGAATATGAAGGGCTACTAAGGAAAACTGAGTTTCTTTTTATTTTGGTAAACTGTAAAACCTTTTTAATGAAGAGCTGTAAATTAAAAACGAAAAAAATTATGCATTGTTTTCAATGCAAAGAAGTTTATTCTCCTCTGAACAAAGGTAGTTTCACACGTAAGTTTAATTCTAACCTCAATCATTTTCATTTTATTCCAATTATTCTACAAGTTTATATAATATAATAATGATATCTGATAGTCGTATATGTAAAATAAGTTTGCCAGACGTATAATTATTATTTTTAATTACACTGTGTCTCATTTCTTTCTTTGGTTTATAGATAATTCTTTTATTTTATATTTTAGAATGCAGTTTAGCTTGATGTTCCAATTTTAAGTTGATTTTTTTATGTACACATTTCCTCATATTGTTTAAACTTAAATTATTAAACTGCTGTCGTTCAGAATTCCTGCTAACAATTACTTTGCTACTTGTGCATTTTAATATTTAAACGGCTTTTTAAATGTTTATCTCAAGTTTTTGAACTTGTATGTTTATGTGTATGCTAATGCTAAGCAAAATTCTATCTATTGAATATACTGGTAAATTTGCTTTGTTAAAAAGATTAAAATTATTTTTTTATCATTAAGGATAAGGATTATAAATAGATATGGCTTTATAATTCATTGGTTTTGCGGCAAAAGTAGTAGTTTCGGCTTGAAAAGTATGTAACGTCAAACGGTACATCTGTCCTCTTAGAACAGATGGACTATAGCGACTACCGACCCGCGCCGGCTTCGCACCGGTGCAATGTATGACATCGCATTGCAAATCTTTAAAATTTTCGAATTTTCTCTACTGTAATATGCACGTACAAATTCCTAAACCTATTTTTTAATAACTACATTTCACATCACATCACATCAATAGCCTTTAATAGTTCAATGCTGGACATAGGCCTCTTCTTAGAAAGAAGGTTTAACCACATTTAATCACTTATAAATACGTAGCTTTGAAAAGTTAACAAGAAATTCCTGCTAAAAAAAGTTGAATCGACTTCAAACAATACTAACAAAGAGCACTAAAAACCTAGCAGCAATCGTGGTTGATTTGCTGTCAGTTTTTGAAGACTTCCGTTGTCTGTCTCCGAAACTCATCATCAGAAGGCCGATTCTCGTAATAACTCTTCGGTCTTAATTCAGTTTCGATCAACTCCCGACACACGTCTCACAACTGTCATAAAATGTATTTTCATAGTGAAATAGTAAAGTATTACTAAGACTAGCAGATAACCGATTCAATTTAGTTACAATACGATATAGTGTCGTAAGAGCCGACTGAGGGAAAAAACTACGCAGAACAACAGCACTGCAGAGAGAAGGAAAACTTGACACAAACCCGTCTGGACAGCTTGGTATAGTAGGCCAAAACCTCCTTTCTAAGGAGAGGCTTATGTCCAGCAGTGGACTATTAAAAGCTGTTGATGATGATTGATGACGATATAATCACATTATCACAGTCAACGTTGGATGCTATTTTACTATGAAAATACCATTTATGTCAGTTGTTAGATCAAAAGTTGATCGGAACTGAATTAAGACCGACATTTTATTACGAGACTTGGCTTTCAGATCTATAAACTCCTTTCGAACAAAAAAAAATTGAAAATCCGTCTATACATGACGCAGTTATGGAGACCATACATATTTTTTTTATAAACATCCGAATTGATAACCTCCTACTTTTTGAAGTCGGTTAAAAATAGGTGTCTAATTATTATTATTTTTTGATAAAGAGTATAATTATGCTGTCTTTGGAATGGACAAGTTGAAAAAAATAGTTCCCCATACAAACTTGCACAGGCGCGGTCGCAGCCTGAAATTTTAGAGGGGGTCACTAAAAAAAATATGTCGAGTAAATTAGAATTTATTGCACAATACACAATTTTATTTGTTTAATAATGTGTGCATTATTAAAATATAGAAAATAAGCTTAACTAACTACTTACCTACTCTAACTCCGTGGTTCTGAAACCACGGAGTTAGAGTACGTAACGGGAGAAAATTCTGCTCAACTGATGGATGATGATAATGGTCATATTTTTTGCTATTGAAATTTGTTGCCACTTTAGGCAATAGCAAAAAATATGACAAAAATATAAAATATAAGCAAGGTAGGTAAATCTCTACCAAACATTAATGCCCTTTTCTAGTGCCTTTCTAGCCCTCGCATTTTTAGATCTTTCCATAGAATAGATAAATAAAAAGACTCTTGGCCAAAACCTAAGCTACCCACTGGTTATTTCGAGTAATGTCACGTCAAATGAGTAATGAAACTATCAGTTATCACAACTTACTTAAAAACACTTAAACAGTTTTCATCAAATTTTTTAAAACTATAATACAAAAATTTAAGCAGTTATGGTTTCAGTTAAGATTTATGTTTTATACTAAACTAAATGAACTTAAGTTCAAGTGGGAAATAGGCGATACGCGTGACGTGATCTTACTCGTATCAACCTTTTATTCAAGCTTCATACAACTTCATCCAAGTTATAAAAAGCGCAATACCTAACCTACAAACTCACCCACACAACGAGAGTCATATAAAAGTAAGAACTTACCCTAGATATTAAAATTACTTACCATTATTATCAAATTATCATTAATCAACGTTCTGATCATCAAATGAAATTAGTAATAATTATACACTTATACCTATTTTATTTTCGTTCTCAGTCACAGCTACTCTCACAACATTCACAACCAAGGAAAAGCATGAAAATTCCATTTTTTATTTTGCAACCTTTTAAGATTTGGCGTGTACGATTTGGGGGGGTCATGTATCCTGTTAACTGTGCCTGAACTTGTACCCCTTTCTCAGAACGGTTTTAAAAAATTAGTAACAACTTTTTTTATTACTTTTAATAGAGTCTTTACGATGAGTTTGAAAAGGCTGCCTAAAACAATGAAGTTTCATATAAATTGCCATTTTTCCTTTGGGTGCAATATAGGGGATATTGCACCCAAAGGAAAAAAAAAAAATCCTTTTTAGTGCACACCTACGTCAGCTAAGGAACATTTATGCAAAGCAAAATTTCATGCTTCTAGACCCAGCGGTTTCAGCTGTGCGTTGAACTATCAGTCAGTGAACATGAACGTATAAAAAAAGCCGGACGGAACCCTCGCTAAGACAAAACTGAGGCACCGTAATGGCGGCAGGTTTTGTGTGTATGAATTAGGGGCTACCAAGTTACCCAAATTATTGCCCTAAAAACCCAGTCGGATAAATAAAAATATTTTATTTGTTCGAAATGTTACTGTTTAATACACCAAATGCTGACTAATTTTTATAAAAATGTTTTCAGATGTGGTGAAACCGAATCATCAAATATTTTACCGCTATATACCTATTTAATGTTGTGTTATGTTCGGATTCTAAGTTAATCATTTTGGTGGTGGTGGAGTTGCTCCCCCCCCCCTTTTTGGGACTGATTCAGAGAGATTTCTGTATCTATTTTGAGACAGCAACGTCTGCTCCGCTGCGAGAAAAGCAGCTTCTACGCTCTTGCCAGTTTTTTGTTAGCGAAACTCTGTTCGACTTTTTTTATTCGTCCGTGGCAAACATATTAAACAATTGCACTTTTAAATGCCAAACACAAACATATACTTAAGTAGGTAACCATATTTTATAAGTACTTTCACATTTCCCTTTAGGTACTTGTACTGTCACTGGCACAAGCAGTGACCTTGACTCTAACCAATTTTTATGATACCAGGTCAATGGGAAGTACCTTAAAGGTTTAAATTTACCTGCGAAGTGTTATAATTGGTTGAACCTGTATATGGTACCTGGTAGCTATATATAACCAGCCGAATGTAGAACCTTTCCTTTTTTGTGAAGTTGGGTAACAACGGTAGTATTACTCATGGGTGTAGTCACGGTGGGGCAAGCGCCCTGGCTCTGACGTAAAGTTACCTAAGCAAACCTAAAAAAATAAAATTATCTAGGTACTAACTTGGCATACGCCCAGAGCACAAACGGCTGAAGTTAGAGACACATTTTTGGATGGAAGATTTCGTGGTTTAGGTGGGTGAGTAATAAAAATGTGTTTTGGATAATTCGAATTATACATACGAGTACAGATACAGGGTGCTATAACCTTTTTGTATGAAAAAATAAACGGGGTACGACCGCGGGTATAGTTTGCTAGTTATATATTATTTTAGACTTTGCCGCACCCTGAGCCCATGGTGTTACTAGTATTCTATATATTAAATATTAATTTTAGGAAAAATTGATTAACACTTCATACGGCTTTAAGGCGTCTTCTCACTTTAGGCACCTCGAAAATAGGCTATTTTCGCGATTTTTTTTCGAGGATTTTTGCAAAAATTATGGGATTAAATGGATCCTATGTAATAAACACATCTTTCAAGTACAAGAAAAAACATATTTTTTATTTTTTTGAACAATTATTATAATAAAACAGTAGCATCGAAAAACCCGTGTAGAAATGTTATGTTCGTGGCTTGTTGAGGGTATCTCCGAGACAGGTCATCTGACACAAAAAAATAAAACAGTTTTAGATTCAGTATGTCAGTGGCTATAGCCCATATCATCAGATATTTGATATTGGCAAAAATAACAAAATGGCGCACGGTTTTCGAAAACGTAAAAAGAAAACGCGTTTTTGCAGTTTTTTGTAAAAAAATGTACTTCAAATCAAAATTTCAAAAATCTGATGATATGCGCTATAGCCATAACTTTGAAGAATATGATATTCAAATTTCATGACAATCGGCCGTATAGTTTCCGAAATTTCATCAACAAGGCACTGAAAAACCTTGTTTTGAGATAAACGCGTTTAAAGTTTTGGTTGCAGAAAAATCATGAAAAAAACCTTACCTCGGGTTAATCAGCGATGCCTGCTCCATACAATGGACCTTCCGATTCTTCGTAGAAGTTGTGCTCGTCAAAAATAGCTTCCCTTCGTCTCGACCTAGTCTCTTTTGAAGCGTTAGAGCTGCGGCGGTTCCCTACGCGTACGCGATCATTTCTCGGCGTATTGAGCGGCGATAGGGCCAAGTTTGACACCCATAACCTCCAAAACTTTTAAAACAGGTTGTAGCCCTTCGTTATAAATGCATGCCGCTGTTTGGCAAGCAATTTTTCTTCGCAATCACAAGTCACACAAATTTTGAAACCGAGTCCTCGCTGACCGTACTTTGTAAAGGAAACATATTTAATACAAACTTTACATGTGAAGTGTAAAGTTTGTAACAAAGATATTGTTGTAATGCAAAAAAAACAAGAAAAACTGAATAATACTATATCCAGCCATTGGATCGATGTGTACATGGAAACTTGTATCGTCAGATTTTTAATTTTGCTGCACTCGCACCTGCATAACTCGTATCTGCCTCAGACTGGTGTGGAAGCACTCCATGAAATTTTCGTTTCTTAGATTTCGAACTTGGGCGTCGCCACGTAGCACTTTGTTGCGAACACTTTTTGTCCATTATAACAATCCTGAGCGCAGAGATGTCGCCGTTACGAAGTTTCAAATTATACTGATGAAATAACAGTTTAGCATCGTTGCCGAGTGATTTTGATTTGAAAAATGCACGTGTTAGGGTCTTATTAGATAAGTATAGACCCCAAAACAGAATATAATTTATTTCTAAGCAAGGGGGTACATTAACAAAAGACCACGACTATTCAATTGTATAGAGTCAGGTATACAGGGACCGTCCGAGCGACGTCAAAGGGATCAGCCGGGTGCTCTCAAGTCACCTAACGGTCGCCCAAAAATGTAGTTAGACTCGTCCGATCTTTATGAAAATTTTGATACAACATTTTTGATGATATGTACTTTCAAAATAAAAAAAGAAAATAATCGATTTTTTTTAATTTTCAAAGTAAGAAGACGCCTAATTTCCAAGTTTCACTAGTTTTTTAATATACAACGTGTGATGTATCTTTGAACGAATCTGTAAACCACATATTCTGCACTTTATTTATAGACGATGTGCAAAATATGAACAAAAAATATTCAGTGGTTTAGAAAAGGTCATTTTTTTGTTGTTTTCGTAATTTGCAACATCATGTTTAAATGCAGTCATAATACATTGACCTCAGGCGGCGATTAGCTGTATACGTTGCCGCTTTTACTACACTCGAATCGAACGAAATTTGTTCTTTATTATTGCCATCAGGATGAAGGCATTTTTAATTAGTTCATACAGTAAGTCCAGTCAGTTTGCCCTTGGCCATCGGCGAGTGTTATGCTGTTCTGTGTCCGTGTAGATGTGCTCACGAAAAATTAGCGTGATAACAATATTGTTGTTGTTCGTGAGATATTTGTTTAGAAGACTTTTGTTGTGTTAATAATTGTTTATTCTTATTGCTTTCGTCATAATACACGGCAATGGTGTGAACAATTAATGTTATCGTGTGCGCAAGACTTTGTGTTGTTACGAGTCCCGCTAATTTTATTTTGAAGTGTTAATATTAGGTTCTGTGTGTAGTGTAGTGTAAAACTGAGTGAATTATCAGTCTTTTTTATGTTATTGGGTTATCGGTATCAACATCCATAATGCTGTGAGTGACCTTCACAGCCTCGGGATATCCTGACAAGTTAATTTAAGTTAATATTAAGTTAATTTACGCCACGGGGAACTCTATCAAAACGCATCTTTAGCTTTACGGACAAACCGCGGTATGGAATTAAGCGTGTATGTCCTACGGACTGCCGAATTTTCGTAAGGGCGGTACAATGAATAGCTACGAGACAACCAAAGTACCTACTTTTTCAAGGAGTGATACGTACTGCCGGGTTCGAAGCTAGTCGAGCATTCACACGTGAATGAAATCGTATTTTTAATAAATAGATTTTATAAAGCAAGTGATTAGTAGGTAGGTAATAAGAATGTAAGTACAGTTCACGGACTCATGTTAACAATGGTGTTCTAATTTGGCAATTATTTTATTGTATTTATTTTGTTCTAAATTTGCATTTCTGTATTTTCGTATTATTATTTTTTTATTTTTTATTTTAACTGACGTATGTTGGACCGTGTTTTCTGGGTTTTCTGTTTTCGTGATAACTTTTATCACATATTGTATACATAAGATAAGACAAAAAAAGTAGATTTTGAAAATATCGATGAACATATATAAAAATGCACACAGTGCAAAATAGTTTTTTTTTGTTTTAAGTAGATTAATTCAAGATAGTTGTGTATAAAGAAAAAAATTATGAAGTTTCTTATTCTTTAATTATATCATTGTATTGGCTATTGTGTGTAAAAAGTAAATCACATCCCATATATTTGTCGCTTTTAATAGCATGGTTTATGACTTGCTGCCACAAGGGGTCACTTAAAAGCAAGTGTGGGTCACAGAACAGCAGTGTTGCAACTTGAGCTCTTGTTAGGGCAACATTTAGCCTCTTAGGGTTTTTAACAAATCCTAAAGCATGTTTTTGGTCTATAATAACATATGCTTCCGTCGTCCTAACTGTCGATATAATTATGAGAGGCTTTTCTTGTCCTTGAAATTCTTCAACCGTGCCAATTTTTGGTCGCGGCAGTCCCATTGCGTCGAATAGAAGACGAATATACTTGATCTAAAAAAAAAACTATTATCATTTCTAAAAATTAAAATAATATTTTTTTCAATTATATAAATATTTTGTACCTGTGCTATATAAGGCGTAATAATACCAATCTCATCCGGGGATATATTTTTCTTAAACAGTTTACATGCAGTCAAGGCTACCATCGAGGCTTCCTGAGGATTAAACCACGAAGGACTATCTTCCGCTCTTGTATTACAGCCCTTAACGCCGTGAACAAATATACCTCCAGTCTTTGGTTCATTAGTAGATTCAAACACTTCCGAAACTACATTTAACATATGCTCAATCCAGGGCATATTTCTTGGTAGTCTCGGAACTAATGAACCATCGTAAAACATCTTGCTTGGTAATGTTATAACTTCTTCTAGCGACCTGTAGTTCTCTGAAAGTCTAGTAACTAATTTCTCATTGAAACCATTCACAAAGGCATTATAGTCCCTTTGATATGGAAATGTTTCCAGAATTCTTGACATGTATGATTCGTCATATCCAAACTCTGCACAGTATTTTGAAGAAACTACAGGCCCAAGCTGCATTGGGTCACCAGCAAGAACGATTTGTCCATTATCTTTGTCAGCAAACGTCAAAGGTATCATTATTTCCGGTTCTAAGGCCTGTCCTGCTTCATCTACGATGACGTGTGTAAAGTGTCCTTTGGGTAGTCCTAACTGAGCTAATGACCCGAGGCAATAACATGTTCCGATGGAGACCCGATACCTAGCGACGTATGACGCGGCAACATCGAGATTAATACTATCCTTCACTGTGTGGTTTGATTTGATTGTATCCTCTTTACTTATGTTTATCGTGGCACAATAGGGTTTTATAATATCTGGGATATTTTCGTTATCAACTAAATAATTAGCAATCAATCTTACAACAGAATTTGAAAATAATTTTTTGTACTTCAATAATCTCTCTGTAAGTAAATTCGCTGCACTATTTGAAGGCGTAGCCACTAAAATTCGACTATCAGGCATAAGGGTAAGTATTTGTAGTATAGTTTCTACAACGGTCATAGTTTTACCAGTACCCGGTGGTCCATAGATGCAATAAGGCATTGGCCGACATTCTCCCAATAATATATTTTTTATCGCTGCCTTTTGACCACTATTCAAATCTTTATTATACCATTCAATTGATTCCACTTTATCACTTGGTAGTTGAGGATTGCGTAACTTAATACGGTTTGGAAATAAAATATCCACACCTAAATTAGAAATTGCTAGATTAACAGCTTGGTGAGCTCTTCTAAATACAGATCGATTAAAATGAAATTGAATGGACACATCACTTCCTGAATAAGATTCGTGAAAACGCGGATGAAACTTTATTAGGACTAAGTCTCCTTTGATTAAATGAACAAACCCTTCATACAAGGGTTTATTACTATCCCATATGTCTTTTACCATAACTTTATCCCCTGCAATCAGTGACGGCCTCTTTTCAGCCAATCCATTTATTTCAATTCCAAGGTACTCTTGGCATCGTATTAAGAATGCTTTAGATAGGTCATAACTTCTCATGTCAACAGTCACTTGAATCTCTTCCATATATATGAGTGTATGCCATCTATCCATGTAGTTATTGATATTTAAAGTTTGTATTAAACAAGGCAAATACGTTTCTATTCTTGATATAATTTTGCTATAATCGACGTGATGGATAGTCTCATTTGAATCGCCTAAGACTGCATTCCAAACTTTGTCTGGAACAGGAAACATTCCAAGCCTTACAGCGACGAAATTAGGAGCCCTTGTCTTTTTCACTCCCGGAACAAATGATTTATTGTCTTCTTTCTTAATTCTTTTTAACATGTTAATTTTTTCGGATTCAGTTTTTCGAACACCATCTGCACTCGTAGTAACTCCTAAGTTGTTATTGCTGAGTACATTTATTTCTATTATTCTTTCCACTTGAAATCCCCTAAACAATATTATCAAATGTTCTTTACATTGACCATAAAATTTAGGTTGACAGATTATTGTGAAACTACAAGACTGCCCAGGACCTATCTTTTTTGGTCTTGTTAAAAATGGACTGATATTAATTTGAGAATCCCTTTTCTTGCAAAGCATAATCCATTTATTAACCACAATTTGTTCATCACTATTGTTTGTTATATTTAAAGTAATGGATGGATTCTGTTGGAATGTCACATTATCAAATTTTAATGGAAAAGTGACTTCAATATTCTTTTTCCTTTCTACTTCAAAACTCTTTTCTTCTATATCATCTACAGCGAGTACGGGTTTTGAATTTTCGGAAACTGATTCCGAAATCATCATAGTTTCAGTTATATGCATTTTTATTACTCTCCATGAACAGCTACCTTGATTGCTTTCAATGGCTTCAATAAGAACCTGAAACAGCAGTCAACCAGGTATTGATGATGTAGAAATGAAAATTTATAAACATTTGATACAAAAATAAAGAAAACAACCTTGGATCCAACAGTTGGCTGAACACTATTAACTATACAACATTTCTCAAAGAAAATTTGTTTATCACAAACGCCAACGTCTCCTGTCCAACCAGTTATCAATGCTGACTTAACTTTACTTCTTACTGGCTTAAAGGATAACACTTCAACTACCTGAAATCAATTGATTTGGAACTGTTAGCTTATATAATATATACTTAAATTAGTCATTTGTGACTAAGAAAAGTGCTGTAAAATGTTGGTACAAAAAATTTAAAGAACAATAAACAAGTTCCGTTTTTATTTAGGCTTTCTATTGAAACTTTTTAACCGTGGGAGTGTCCGTGTAGTGACGGATTAAGAAAAGAGAGTGTCACCACCCCTATCTATCCCACAGGTATCATAAGAGCCGACTGACATGCTGGCAAGGTATATTCGTATCAGAAGTAATGGCTTATAAATAAATTGTGTACATACCGTTATTTATATATTCCTAATTTGAAAAATACCTTTGGATTAAAAAATTATGAATCACTATTAAATACATATGTACAGTACAGCTGATCTTTGTTCCATTAGTGCATACAAGATGATACCAAATAGTTACACAGAGTGGATACAGCAGTGTACAGCAGTGGACAGCTATAGGCTGTTGATGATAATGATTATTTCTAAAATGATTGTTGATGTAATATGTTATATACACTTCCTATTGTCCAATTTCAACAATGTGTAAGAACCCTCAAGGCAGATTTTGCCTCTTGGGACCCACTTTTAAATTTATCAAATAAATCTTTTGGGAAGTTATTTAACAAAATTACTTGACATAGAACTTACATACTTGAATAAATATATCAATGTCAGATGTTAACAATTAGTTTTAAATAATTAGATTATAATATAAGTTATAAATAAAAATTCCACTTACCAAATCAAAAGTTATATCCATTGGTTTGTCATCGTCAAATTTAACTTTACATAATAACTCGAGCCAGTCGCCTGGTATTGGAATAAATGTTCCAGTTACATGATCAAGATCAAATTTCAAATTGGTGTTTTTTATAAAAACAGCACGATCCTCTCTGTTGTCAACTTCACCGACAAACACATGCTCAATAACATTATAGCTGCTTTCATCAACAGCTTCTTCTTCATCACCCCAAAATGTACCTAGGCTTTCTAGAATTCTGACTATGATTATAGTATCATTTGCATCTTTGTAGCAGAGATACAACACCTTGTCCATTACTTGTAAATTCAAACCACATGCTGAAGTATCAAAAGATATCATTCCATCAATGAGGATATAATTTTCTCCCATGTATGTTATTACACCTGGAAATGCAACAAAAACTTGAATATTACCTTTTGATTTGATTGTCATAGCTTTTAATCTTATTCAGTACATAAATTTGACCCTTAAAGCTACAAAAAAAACTATTTTTGATGGATCCACCAAATAATAGATCTTATTGATCAATATAGATGACAAAACTTACAAATAACATAATTTGTTTCAATTAAAACAGTAGTTTTAAAAACACAAAATAGTGCTAAAAAGTTACAAACAATTTATGTTTGACAATCTTCTGAGAAATTCTGTTTTGCAGATTACTCAGGATAAATAGTATTCATCAAAATAGTTGTGGCAACTTATAGTGTGTATTAATGAATAAAAATAGAAGAAAAAATAACAGTAGTACCTGTTCTTTGGTAACATGCAGCACTTCTAGGAATTTTAGGTGTACTGGAAATTACATCTTCGTTAGTCTCTTGCTCATCTATTTCCAATTCTACCAATTGTTCTGCTAAAAATTGGTCCAAGTCTGTTTCCTCTTCGGAAGTGTTTGGAAACCAGTGATGGTAAAATGATTTTATGTAAGAAACCATTGTGTATTTTATGTGATTTTTTATTGGACAAATCCTTTTTCATACTCAAACTCCCATTCAGTAGACTTCAAGTAATCTAGTTCTTTTCTCAATGTTTGGATCCGTTTCTGATGTTCTTCCTTCTGCACACTTTTCATTGATTGCTCAATGCTTAACCCCAGGTCAGCATGATTTAAAGACTGATCAAAATTTTGAATTCTGCTTTGTTTTGTGCTCTGAAATCAAAATATTTTGAATACTTTCATATATTCTATATTCACATGGTATTAAAACAACTGGTCTATGTAGACACCTAAAGCTTTAGCTAAAGACAAAAATATTTTAATTACACTGAAATATTCAGATATACTATTTAGAGCATGAGAGAACTATGATAGGTAGCTATTATACTAAAATATTTAGGGTGCTTCTACACAGTGCAAGTAGTTGGAGTGGGTAAATGTGGGTTATTTGTGTTAGTAGTATGCAGAAGTTACTAGTTCATAACTTGTACAATCATACTGCTCACGCAGGTAACATGTATGGGTCTTGCTAGTTTCAGAGTGTCATTACTTCAAATTACAAGACACTAACGCAGTTGCATTAAAATACCTCAATGAACAAAATTTTTTATGAAATCATTTGTAAAAAATATATTTTACTGGAGTTGATAAATATAGCTCGCAATGCAAATTGTGGGGGTCACATGCACAGGTGGCTCGCACTGGTATATGCACAAGTAGTTTTCGCAAAGATATAACCAGCACAAGTGCCTCAACATGCGCAAGCTACTTGAATTGTGTAGAAGCACCCTAACTAAGCTAACTTTTATAGTCATGACTTTTCTGGAGCAATACAGTCAGTTTTTTGTAGTTCTGTGCTCTTTATACATTGGCTACAGTGATATTTTCTTTATAGGAAGTTCAGAACAAATAATTAGAAAACAAAAAAAAATTGGCGGCATGTCAAGAACACTCGTAAAGCATGCGGAGTAAACTTACATGTGGGGTTTCTGGTTCCGATGGAGAATATGTAGACTGTGAAATATTACTTGAAGAAGACATCATTACAACATTACTTGCTAAATAAATTCATACTAACTGATATGCACCAGCAATGAATTACTACACCATCAAAATTTAAGACGCTTAAAATGTTTAACTCCTATTTCAGTGCTTCTTTTGTTGCTTTTCTTTAAATAAATAATAGTAAATGTTTTCAATTGATGTATTCTACACTGAAAGGATAGCAAACATATAGTCGCTAATGACCGAGTCCTTCCCTTCATGAACTCTGCGCTTCCCTTTATCCCTTGAATCTAAGATGAAGAAATACCACAAATTATTATTAAATTATGTCTTGAATTGGTGCCACAGACAACAGTATTTACTTTCATATTCAATATATTACAATCTATTACAATGTACTCTGTGCATAGTACTCTGTGGTGTTTACATTACACTACAGATACAGACTACACTAAAGTCAAAAACAAAAAGACAAAATATTTTAGTGTATTTTGACAGTTGTAGTTTAGGGTTGGGGTGTCTACAAATCGATAGGGAGAATACTAGATTTAGATTACAAATGCATTTGCGAATGAAAAATCATAAATAATTTGAAAATGTTTATGTTTGTTCCTATTCATTTAGTCTGTTTTTTTTTGGAACGAAGTTCCTTATCTCGCATTAAAAGCTCAGAGCGGATGGGAGCAAGACCGAAAAATGTGTAACAAGTTGTTTGCCGACATTATAGCAAACGTCTATCAAAAAGCGAAAGGGATTCCTCATGTCGTTTTTATAGTTATTCTTGAAGGCTGTCAAACTTAATACCAATAACAATTCTCTATTAACTAATTTTTATTGTCACAGATAGGTTTTAACTTACCTATTCAATAGTAATACCAGTATTATTATTATTGTTGTAAATGTGCTTGGCGGTGTTCTAAAATTGTGCCATTAAAAATTGTAAACCCTTCTTGTAAGCTGGGTTTTATACACTCTGGAAAGCAAATAATTGAGAAAACTAAGGAGTATAACTAGCCTCCATGTCTAGCGTATGTGGACTATAATGCCACGACGGTTTTTTATTGTTTATTAATTTAATAATAATTATTGAATATTTTTAAGAATTAGCACGCGGTCAAATTAAATTAGCGCAAGGGCAATTTTTTCACGCTTCGTAGAGTAAAAAATAATAATTTTTCAAAGAGATATTTTAAGTAGAGGAAAATTGAAAATTATATTTCTCTTTTTCCTGGGAAAACGAAAAACGGGCTTATAAATTAATTAACGTAGGTCGAAAGGGCTAATTGAGATCTATAAATTGAGATTTCTTTTATTTTGAAATTTTAATATCTGCAGGCTGGAACGTGCCCGGTCTGAGCTGCATACGGGAAACTACGCCAAATCTTCGACCAGTGTGTCCTACCCATAATGACTGACGAGTTACGCTTGACTTATGGATTACGTTACTTATGTGACGCGTGACTTATAAATACTATTGTGTTTACTATTGTTTTTTTTTTTTGGATAGACTAAAATGGTATTTATTGGGTTACGGCGTTATCATAATGTAAAAATAGTGTTGTATCCTGAATGATCAAGTTTAGTGAGTGCCTGGATTTATATAATAGAGGATATTTGTAGTGGTTGTAGACATAAACTTAAGTCATATACGTACATCGTACGTAGTACGTATTTCAATATCTTATTTCCAAACAAAACTGCGCAGATATTTAAATTATTAAGCCTTAACACACCATTTTTAAGTATATACTTAGTGTAGAGCTGATACAAGAAAATGGATGAAGACACTGCTAACTATAACACAGGGCGTCACATACCACAGAAGGCAGGGTCCCAATGTATTGCAACAATGGCGATGTCAATAAAATGGTTTTTTATTAGTTGGTCCAAAACCTCCTCTCTAAAAAGAGGCCTATGTCCAAAAGTGGAACCTTTAAGGCTGTCGATGATAATGATTATTATGGCAAATTTGTTCTTTTTCAGATTTAGTATTTTAGTGTCATTTACGGACGCAGTTATGTAAACGACACTGTTTTTTTGGGAGTAGTTAATTAAGTCCGTTCGCCTATTGTCTTGTATGTTTGTTCTTCTATTATATTATTATTCATATATATTTATTTAGATTTAGATATATTTAGTTTTAGTTTATAAGGAAGATGTGCTTAATAATATTATTTAGGAAACAGCCCGTTCCTATTAATAATGCAAATCAATAAAGTAAATAAATCGACTAAGTGGCCATAAATGAGAGCGATGCCTTGCATGATTTCCATGATTTCCAATATCATCATGCTTGCTATGATTTCCAATATACAACCTAAAATAGTACAAAAAAATGTACTATACGTATTTCTTATTTATAATTATTTTATAAAGGGTGTTAATAATTGTATAATCTTATTAAAATTAATAAAAATTGTATTTTTTAAAAATAGGTCCAAGAAAAAAGCCAAAAAGTTCCAAGAACTGAATTTAGGTTATTATGAGAATAAAGAATGGCTTAATGAGCGAGAGAGGCTTAATGTGAGTGATATAATAATATACTGAGCTAAACGATGAAGAAATGAATCAATTGAGAGACCAATCAATTGAATTGGATCACTAAGCTAGTGAGCTAAATGAGTTAATAAGCTAGTGAACTAGATGAGTGATTTATGTCTTTAGATCGAAATGATATGTATCAATATTTTTAGTTCAGTGATACATATTGCGCATCACTATAATCTATAATTAAAAATCAGACATAGAGTGAACACGAGGTACAGCTGCCTATGAGTTCAAGCGATATAGGCAACGAGAGAGATGAATACCCAATAGTTCCCTCTGTCTCTATTTAGCTAAGTTACGATTTTCTATCGTAAAGTGGTCATGGTTTCAATCGAAGAAAAGATATGAGATTAGAAATTTCGCAAAAAAAATGGGTGTAAATAATTCAAACATAAGGTATACAAAACACATAGCTCAAAAACTGAAAAATATTGAAAACAGCTCAAAAATATTTTAAAGCCGTGGAATGTAACAAAGTAATTGTCATCAGGAATTCTGAACGACAGCTATTTAAACTGAATAACATTAACTGATAGATATTATGTTAACAATATAAGGAAACTTATACATAAAAAATCTATTTAAAATTCGAACATCAAGCTAAACTGTATTTTGAAATATAAAATAAAAGCATTATCTATAAATAAACGTTTTACCTTATTATGCTTACATTTCTTTTTTTTACTGTAGTTTTAGAGGTAAAATATATGTTTTTGAGGGTTGGTAACTCTGTCATCAGGCATGTCGTTGTCGTTGTTGTTAATAAATTGTTTACTATTTATTTATGTTTAATCAGCATTGACCATTCGACCATTGTTCTAGTCAACGTTATATTTTAGGGTTGTACCTATTTACTAGTAGTTATCAAACTCGCGTGTTATATCTATATTGTGTTTTAGAATTTCATTAATTCTTTATTGCAAGTCTTTATTTCGACAATGGCTCAGAAAAAGTGTTTGTTTAAAAAGGAAAACTCAGATTACGAAGAAGAAGACTTTTTTACTTCTAAGTGTTTTCAAGTGAGACCTCATGTGCAGTTCAAAGAAGTTCCGACAAATGGCGAAGAGTACCTCTTGAAAGTAATAAGAGAACGTGAAAAGTATGCTTCAGTTTTGCAATGTGATTACATTGATTACAAAAAGTTGTCGAAAAAAGTCTCTAAAAAAGGGAAATCCTATTTCGAAGAAGTAAATCACATTATTGTTTGATTGATTTTCATAGTTATTATGTTTTCAAATAGTTTTCTTAATTTGTTATTACTTTTCGTAGATTGCAAATCCTGCAGCCCCTGAGACTATTAAGCCCACTGCGGAATGGCAAAATATACAAGTTGCAGATTTTTCAGATATACGTAAATATATACAACAAATGCAAGTAAAAGATTTAGTACCGCCTACAATTAAAGATATTTGCGATCGTAAACGTCGTGTAGAGTGCTGGAAATCTCTTTTTAATGAAGAACCAACTATGACACATGTTGTGGGAATATCTCAATTTATGATAGATGCAGGATTAGATATTTTAACTGAACAACTAGGTTTAGTTGAAGCAGGGCAAACAGTAGACCGTAAAACAGGTATGTCACTACAGTAGAACCCGCTTGACACAATCACGCTTAAAACGATTTCTCGCATAATACGTCATTTTACGTCAGTCCCTACAACTTGAGATGTGTTCTAATACATTTCTTAACGCTTAATACGATTCGTCATCTCGTTTAATACGCCTACATGCGCCGCGTGTTGTCTCTTGCGGCAACGACAAGCGTCTGTCTTAGTGGTGCGGTCAAGAGGAAGAAGAACCCCTGACACTGCAGGGTTCTCCTGGATATTATCTTCCATTGATGACAATGTAGCACCGTACGAAATTCAATCAATTGAAGATCTTATTGAAGATGTGAATGACAAACAAAAAGAGACCCTAAGTGATGATGCCGAAGACGAAGATGGGTCAACTCCAATTCTATCAAACACAAGCTTTATCAGCAGTAAACGATTTAAGTAGCTATGTAGCTTCTTTAAGTCAAAGTGAAGACGCATTGCAAAAGTTTAATTACATTGAAAACGTTGTAATTGCTAATGCAAAATCTTTTTGACAAACCAAAATAAGTGATTATTTTAAGTAAAGTAAATCCCGTATAATACGCTTTGTCGCTTAAGACGCGTTTTTAGTTGGGTCCCTGTGAAATCGTCTTAAATGGGTTCTACTGTATATTATATATTACTGAACTTCTCTTTTTATAAAATCTGTGCTTGTTTTTGAAAAGTTTAACAATGACTGTTCATCATAAAGTTCTACAAAGAATGCTCGTTATTTTCAGGTCAATGGATATACACACTCCTTGCCGTTACAAGATATCCACATTTATATGACACTACAACTAAATTACGAGACCTGGCAAGAAAATGTTTAGAAATTAGGTATGTAATTATTATCAAACATTGATGAACATTATCAAACAAACTTACAATGGTGCCAAAAATAACCATTTTTATTTGCTACAAGTCATATTATAGTCAGTTCTATTGGAATAGTGTAAAAAGAAGAAGTTTTTCTCTTTAATAATTGCTTTTGGGATTTCTCAAAAACAAGTTTTAAAGATGAAACATTAATATAGTAAAGTCATTGATATTATTAATGTTAGATAACATGGCTACTAATTTTGTGATCTACCTTAACCCTTTTGGGTTTAATAACTCATTGGACATGTTTAATAACCCATTTCTGTTTGTTATGTTTTATAATTGTAAAATATTAGTATTATATACTATGTTACAGGTCTAGAATAAATCCTGAAGATGAGAATGCAAAGGAACTTGCAGCACCAATGAATTTATTCATATGTTTAGTAGCAAGATATTTTGGACAAAAAGACTTGGCAGACTAAGGCAGATGTTGTGATTTCTACAAAATAACTGTGTAATTTTTGAAAAATAATGTGTACATTATGTGCATCTTTCGAATTGTGTAGAAGAAGCTCAACATTGTGTTGTTTTTAACTAAACTTTAGGTGGTGTATTAAACCTAAAAGTACAAGTAAATATGTAAACTAATTCATTTTATATGAATAAATAATGATTTTGTAACCTAGATTGTGAAAATTAACAGAAGTTTGTAGCCTGGATACTCAACTAAACATTGTTATTGCCTTTTGTATTGTCCTGACGGTGAGTTGAAGGAGTCTTTTGAACTCCTTAAATCAATCTAAATAATCGTTGTAGTATTTTAAACTGAAGACCATTCTAGATTAATTTATAAAAATGTGAGGCCTATAGCAATGACTGTAACACCGGCTTAAGAGTATAGTAGATACAGTTAGATATAGGTAGTAGATATAGTTGGATGTATTTCAAGAAGCCTACTACATTTTCTGAAATTTGATTGACCCATGTTGCAAAGTTAGACTTACCTAGCTGGATAGTAGAGTGTAGTCTCCAATTTTCACTTTAATTTTCGTCTTATTCAGGTTAATTTTAAGACCCACTCGTTTAGAGACCCTACAAAGTTCATAGAGCATTGTGCTAAGGCCGCATCCCCCAACCATGCCTCTGGCGGCTTCGCCGGGTTTGAGGGAATTAATATTATCTTCTGAAGGACTTTTAAGGCTGGCTTTCCACCCACCTGCCCGGGTTTCTCCTGAAGCCGGGTGGAAAGCCAGCTCCTGCTCAGCCGTAATTCCATCTTCACCCGGTGCTTTGTTGTTCTTGATCTGTTTGAGAGCCATACTAATGTCGTACAAGCTGACGTCCGGTATATCTTCGGTATAGTGTCGGGTTAACTGAGCCCTTGGATCTTTCGGCAAGGCAATAACAGGGCCCAGTGTTGCCGTGTATAACTGTCAGTAGAACTTGGCAACCCTACTCAGAAACTTCTTTTTTTGCTAAAAGTAATTTTTCTATGTATTTGTAATCTTGCCCTATTTTTTTCTTGACTGGAAGCTGAGCTTTTTGTATATTACAGACACAAGGAAACCAAACATCATTTAATATTTTTTATTTATAATGTTCCACACTATGCCAAACTGACAAATTAATTTTTATTAAAACATGTGTGTATATATATGTACCTATCTTTAACTATAATATATTTAAATTTCTTAGCATATTTAGTATAAATGTAAATAGGAGCTTATATAATTAAATAATTATATCTATTTACATTTGCATATACATCAATTAATATATACACGTATATAAATAAGTACACTCAAGCCTACATCCTTGAAGCGATAGGCAGGTGTACATTAGATAGATACTTACATTTTAGCGACTGTAAGTTTAGACCCACTTACGTAATACGGCACAAGTCCGTTGCCCGTACCCTTACCTTAGAAATGATATGGAAAAAATGGGACTTATAGTGAAATAAAAAGATAAAAAGGAAGGCCAAAGAAACATCGTACTGGGAGGTGTAGGTGTGCAGAAGCTTGAGCAGGTCAAAATTCCAGGCAGTTAAGGAAATGCCACATTAAATGCTTGTTCTAAATCTTCTAGAAGATCGTCAATGTCTTCTAAACCGATCGATATTCTGATAAGCTCGTCCGAGATACCAAGTTTAAGCCTTTGTTCTTCAGGCACCGATGCGTGCGTCATTAGCGCCCTGTAAAAAAGTAGAAAATATAATTGAACGAAACGAAAACGAAGTGTCACCATCCCTATTCATCCCGTAGGTATCTTAAGTGCCGACTAAGGTCCGCAACTACGCAAGACGACAGAACTGCAAGGGGAAGGAAAACTTGACACAAACCCTATAGGTACCATCCCGTCTGGCCAGCGTGGTATAGTGAGCCAAAACCCCCTTTCTAAGGAGAGGCGTATGTCCAGCAGTGGATTATTAAAGGCTGTTGATGATGATGATGACTTATTTAGCAAACGTAGTGTAGGACGCTTTGCGGTACGATGGACCGAGATCTTGAGGAAAATGGCTGTCAGCGGATGGATGCGGACTGCCCAAGACCGAGTCGGTTGGCGCTGCGTGGGGGAGACTTTCGTTCAGCAGTTAACGGCGATAGCCTGATGATGAGACGCTGGTGTGAATGTAACCAGTAACCGGGAATGTAAGTGTTAAAGATTAAGAAAGCCTTGCAAAATGGAAATAGAATAATTTTGACCAGAACGTTCATTTATTTTTACTTACGGTAGTTGAGCTAAACTTTCAAAGCCACCTAAGCTTTCAGCCAACGTGAAAACTTTAAATGCATGCAGAATCGCTTCAGATTCCTTTATTCCACCGCAATGTTTGAAACTGAACACACCCGAGTGGCCAGAGGTTTGTCGTTTACAAATTTCATGTTGTGGATGATTAGGTAATCCTAAAACAAAAACATTACAAAAGGTACTAGCATTTACGGAGGAAATATTATTGGTTAAAGTTGTACAGAAAAATTGAGTCGTTTTTTCTAATAAAAATATTTACATTCATTATCTATACATTGCTGCCATCTAAACGGAAGTTCATATATGCCTTTATGATAGAACTCTACAGATCTAGATTTGACAAACAGTGTGAAAGCATTTTGTACTGCCTCCTGGGAAGAATTTTTTTATCACGTAGAAAATTGTCCAAATCACGAAAAAATGGTAGTCCGTTGGAGCAAGGTCTGGCGAGTACGGAGGATGACGTATGGTTTCTAACTGCAGCTCCTGTAGAGTTATAACGGTTTCTCGTGCTATGTGAGGTCTTTCGTTATCATGGAGCAATAATGGTGAAGATCGATTCACGAGTATTGTTTCTGCCGCGTTAGTTCCGCGTCGGAACTCGTATTCAAAAAAGACTCGGATTTTCGAAGTATCTATCTTTCACGTCTAAGCTGAATAAAAAAAAACAATTGAAAGTCGAAAATGGAATGGTGCATATTTTTTTAAAGATGAACCTAATAGGTATCGTGTTAAAAAGGTTTTACACGAAAATTTTACACCATGAAGGTTTTATGTCAATTTAAAGTGTCTATTTAACTCCTATTATTATCGTGTAGGTATGCAGTAAGCAAAGTTACCATTATTAATAACAACCTATACATTTTAAAAGAAGTTTTTAGCGTTTTTTTGTCCATATAATTTTTGAAGTATGGAAACTAATAGCTTTACACTATCATATACACTTAGGTACTATACCTATAAGCTTCTAGAAAAAATGTATAGGTACCTGGGTGTAAAACTTCTGTAACCTTGGGATGTTTTTGTAACCACTGCGCAATGACCATGGACGATTTCTTATGTTGTTCCATTCGCAATGGCAACGTTTTCAAACTTCTGCTGACCAAATAACAATCAATGGGCGACGGTACGGCTCCCATAGCTGCAAAATGAAGACAAAAAAAAACGCATTTTTCAAGTATCACACGAAGCAGGTAAAGTCCAGAACATTTCTACTAGGTATATGTACATGGGCGTTAAGTACAACAAGACTGTTTTTAGTCGGGCCTATTCACATATCTTGTATTCCTAATTGTCTCACTATATTTAATTTTTTTCTGAACCAATTAATTATTTACGTACAAGAAGGTCCACAACTGTTTCCATCGAATAAATGTCTGTGTGCGTGTGCAGGCATGCATGTATCTACCATTGTCGTCTCATGACTCTGCTTTCTAGAATATACATAAGCCTGTTGAATGACGGTCTTGTGCAGAGCACGAGCATAAATTTATTCGCAGACGGGTGTTTTGATTGCACACATTGAACACAAATTAATCCTTAATTTCGCACATTTAAACAGATCACACTAAGTAACTACCTTTTTGCAAAAAGTGAAGCTTCTTGCCTAATTCTTCATCTTTAACAACCGCTGCTCCCATCACAATATCGGAATGTCCATTCATATATTTTGACATAGAGTACATAGCAATATCAGCTCCGAAATCAAGAGGTCTTTGTAAGTATGGTGTTAGGAAGGTATTATCAACGACCAACAAAATATCACCAAAGCTTTTGATCACTTTGCTTATGTCAGCAATATCAAGGACTCTCAGTATGGGATTTGTTGGCGTTTCGATCCAGACCATCTAGAAAGTAAATAATATATGAAAGTTTAAATTCATTTTACATAAGAATAATACAAATAGTTTTATCTTTTTTGTATAGTAGATAAGAGTTTATGTGATTTCAGGTAATCCCTTAACATATTGTAAAATCTGTGATTATTTCTAAATCTTAGCGTAATTAAATATCGAGGGAGATCTCTTATTTTGTCGCCTAACATAACAATCCTTCCACTTCAAAAAATGTGAAAAACTATTATTGTAGCTACTGATCTAGATTTTTTGAAATATTTACCTGTTCGTCGTCATATAGCCTTGAATATCTAATCCTTGGCATATCAAAGAAGAAACACATAAAATTCGCAATTTACAAACCTTCGTATTTTTTTGAATGGCCTTGGCTAAATTTTCAGAACTAGTGCAGTCGGCAAATGAAACTTCAACGCCTAGTCTTCCTATGATGTCTCTGAAAGCGCACATACCTTTTAATTTTGATGAACATTTGCGTTATTAAATATCTTTTTAAAACTGACTTGCCAAATTTATTTAGCCAGTATTTTACCTCACCTGAAAAGTCGACTTGTGCCCCCATATAGATCGTCACTGGAAATTATATGATCACCTTTGCTAACTAGAGAGGCAATAGTGGTGGTAGCTGCAAGACCCGAGGCAAACGTTATAGCATCAGTTCCACCGTCTAGTTTTGCAAGACAATCTTCCAAAGCGCTTCTTGTCGGGTTTGCAGACCTGCCGTAAACATAACCCTGAAAAAAGTCGGTTTAAAATAGTAGCGGTTTATAACATTCTTCTTTCACAGTAAATTTGCCCCGTAGTCTAGATTGTGTTTTGACAATACACTGCACGTCTTTTAACCAGGTTTGTTAAAATAGTTGTGTTACGACTGTATATTTTGAAACTTATAACCCCGTTATTTCTGTTGACACTACTCAACATCACACATTATACGATGTGGTGAAGGTACACTTAATTGTTTTCTTCTGTTGCGTCTTTTTGACTGTATACGTTTACGAATAAGTAATTTAATAGGCATGTAGAAAATATCTTCTAAAATGTTTACTTGTACTAGATATCAATATGAGACAAGGACCGAATTGCTTGATCATGGAACATAATACATTAATACATACGGTATGATTGTGTACTGTTCTTTTATAAACAGTAGATGTTACAATTGGAGGCACAACGGCTCCTGACCATTTTTCAGGATCTTTGCCACTATGGACAGCGGTAGTGGCAAACCCTCTCTTTGGCTTGAGAAAACCTTGATCCGCCATCTAATAAACAAATAGAAGAATACAAGTTAAGGCTTGGCTCCATATGCTGATTTTGCCGCCGTGGAGGCACTCCAGCCGGTCATCGTTGAGTGGGCAGGGCGGCAGCACGGGACTCTTTCCTTCCGGCTGACGCAGGTCCTTTCCGCGCACGACTGCTTCGGGACTTCTGCACTCGTTCGCTAGGTCGGAATCGAGTCCCGCCTGTCACTACTGCGATTGCAATGAGGACTCGGCTCAGGATGCACTGGCAACTTGCCCGGCTTGGGTCCTCATTGCAGTCATCGGGGAGGATCTCTCGCTACGGGCCGTCATACGCTCCATGGCCGGTATGGTGACAGATGTTTCACCGCGGTCGCATCATTCTGCGAGATGACGTCTTCGCTAGCAATTTATGCGAAATATCTAGTAAAATAACTAAGAAAGCTATGCAAGAATCTCATTTAAACACTTGATTAAAGCCTCAGAAATACATGTAATACTCTAATAACAGCATTCATAAAATTTTATGGGCTTATTTATATATATATAATTCATTTAAGTTTATAGGCTTTATTAAGTCACTATGTTTTAAATAGGCCAAAGGCTAAGGTTGCAGTATCACCTCTGTTTAAGTGAATTTTAATAAAAGTTTTTTTTTTTTTTCTTAATTATACAAAATTTAAAAACCAAAGTACCTTGCTTTTATTTATCACTTTCTTCAAATATGTATAAAGATATGTGTTTAAAATAAGATAGGCCTTACTTGTATCACTTACCTTACCTACAAACATACTTATACCTACTAAAAACCCTTAACATATCTGTAAATTAATCGATGTTTACGTAATTAACAAAAAAAAAAATTTTAAAGTAGAGACCGAGAGAAATATTTGTGTATAGAGCAGATAATGTGCAAGTATAATTGTTTTAGCAGGCAACCTTAAAATGAAATAAAAATAATATAAACCGGTAACAGTATTTTTAAATTAAATGAGAAAACCTCCTAGTACTTACTAATTAATAAGCAGACTATCTATAACTAGTGTTGTTTATGTGATTAGTGTTTTACAAAAAGTTTCAGAATAAAACACCTCAATGACGTGAATGTAACCTAAAATTAAACATTTTCCGACGCATAATTGCGTGAGATCGAGAGACACGTGAGACGGCGAAGTGCCAATGATTCCTGAGTAACGAAATCAAGAATATACAGGAATTGTACAACATTGAAGAGTGATAGGGGAGAATGAAAATAGAAAACTAAATTACGCCGACCACAAATAAATTTCTTAAATGGGCATGAAGATAATAAATAACCTAACCTAACGCTTCAGAATCAATACCTAAATGTATTAACTCATCCGATATTTTAAAATTCGTTTTCTATTTAAAGAAAATGAATAAATATTAGTACCCTAAAAACGAATACAGCTTAAATAATAAATATTAGCTTGTATCTGCAAGTGGAATTGCTGATTTATGATCACTAAGAAATAGAAAATAAACGTAGGTATACTCTCTTCGAAATTCGTATGAATTAGGATTTAATTAATTTTTTGATGGCACAGGAGACAAACAAGCACCCTGACGGTAAGTGAATATGGGCGGGGCCATGGACACTTATAATTCAAGAGTCCCTAAGTGCATTGTCACCTTTTGACTCCAGTAACACAGCTTACTTGTAAACACCACTTTCTTGGTAAAAGACAACGAAAGAATTGCTTGACGCCGCCGCGCCGGTTTTCAGTGAAGTCATGATGTCACTGGTTGAGCGACAGAAGCGGCGAAATACTTACTATGACAATACGGCTACTGGCCACAAACAATTTGGGAACTATGGGGAGTATTCGCTTTGCACTTTGACTACTAAATGATCGACTAATAAATGACTGAGTTTGCGGTAATAAAAAAATACGTACAACCGAATTGAGAACCTCTTCTTTTTTCAAAGTGTAAGAAACGTGGCAGGGTACATCCGATGCCTCACACGGTTTAATTATTTCCCTGGATCCACAAAAACCACTGCGGTCGTGCTTCCTTCCTTGACGAAACAGTACAATCAGAAAGTACTTAGAACAACAGGTACGGCGTATCAGCCAGTTGCGTCAAAAAAATTATGTGCTTTAGATTAGATTAAAATGTAAAAGCTAACTAGTATAAATATTTTTAATTTCCGAATTGTACAGAATAAGTATAACGAGGTCTAACTGAATTTGATCACTCATTGAATTAATCTTTAAAATCGCTTTAATTGAAAATATATTTTACAGTATTTTAGTAATAGTTTGTCGTTCTTGTTTAACTATCTCAAATACATAATTTTGTGTACCCATATTAAGCATTGCTACAGTTTATTGAATCTTTATAAGAGCTATAACTCCATAATACGTTGTTTTTATGTAACTCCTTTATACTTTCATCACGTTCATATTCTCCAGTTAGTAGTGTATACAGACAGACCAACAAACACAGCGGGCGCACTTTGTTCCAAAATATGTAAGTAGTGATGACTAGCAACTGGCTACTAATCTGTAATAACACAGATAAGATATTAGTTACCATAATTATACTTCATCCTATAAATTATAGATAAAAATATGGATTATGTGTATAATTATGTAGGTATTAGATCCGAGATACGGATCTCATGTTTTTCTGAGTTAATGCCAATTTTGACGTTAAAATGACCGTACACATTCATTACCCAATAACATGTTCCAACTTGAACCGAGCATTTTTTTTTCAATAAGTACTTCAATACACATATCACAAATGTTTGATCGCTTTATAAGTCAAATAGTACCTTATAACAGTTATGAGGAAAATGTGGCGAAGAAAGTTTTAGGTATGAGAGTTGAAGGGAGTTGGAGGAGTTGAAGAGAAGAGGCAGACCGAAAAAGAGGTGGATGGACTGCGTCAGTGAGGATATGGCTAGGAAGGGAGTAAACAGTGAGATGACGCATGACAGAGTAGAATGGAAAAATCATACATACTGCGCCGACCCCAAATAAAATTGGGAAAAGGGTAGGCAGATGATGAACAGTTATCACTGATAAGAATATTAGCGACCTCACTACATAGACTACTTATAATAATGTGAAAGAATAAAAATAAATAAAAAGAGAATAAAAAGTTATGGAAACGAAGATGGATACGCTCATTACTTCATCAGAGCTGAGGGTGTACTTGTACGTCGGACTAAAACTACTAAAGATTAAACTACACAATCCATTGTACGGGACTCAGAATACCTAACAAACAAGCCACCGAGAACCACTGCAGACTTAGGCCACCTGATAAACACGTGACTACATGTATGACCCTTAATATCCTACAGATAGAGAGACACGCGCGGTGCAAATCGTGCCACCGTTACAGGACAACGCTCATGTAGATCGGAGATCGTTTTGCGTTCTCTGGCACTTGTTGCGTCTACTGCGCGACGGAAGAATGCCTATAAAAGACAAGCAATCTTTCTGTTCCCGTTCTAAAGCTTCTTTGGTCAACAGCATCTCCTCGGAAAACGAGACGGTGGAATCCCACTCAATTTGAACCATGGACAAAACTATGGTTTCCCCACATTAAAAGTGTAGCGTCCACGCAAGGACCCACGAGAGTGCGGAGAGCCGTGTTCTTGCGATTTGTATTCTCCGCAGTAGTGGCACTCAGACGTTGGCTCCCGACCTATACCACATACATAGATATAACCCGAAGCCGTGTTCAGCCAGGACATGCGTCAACTGCTAGGAGCGGCTGCCATATTGCTTCTCTAGTCAATTCTCCATGATTGGTCTTACCGCCATAATTGTGGCGTGCCTAACTATAACAATTTCTAGGCGATTGCTCTGAAAATAGAAGAACAATCATCTTCTAAATTACTCTTCTTTATATAGGTCGTAAAAAGATAAAGAGCTTGCAAATGTGCAGACGAATCACCTGATGGTAAGTGGCATTTGCAACCAGGCACCGCTAGCTGTTTGAAAGTCCTCGTGCAATTACGAAAAAGTCGCCCAGTGGTTCCCCGAAAAAAATATCGCCCTGTATAGGAGATTTGGTCGTCCCCACAGGCCCCCGCACCTCAAGTGATTAAAATAATACATTAGAAATCCAAAATTAAGGAGAGAAAGCTCCGGTAACTTCATTCACTAGGCGAAACTCAACGGAAACATTGCTTGACAAAGGCTTATTTATTTGTTTAATTCTTTATGCATAAATTAAAATTCACTTGTCAATACTTAATGCCACAAGCATTTTCCTCCAGTCAAGCCTTGGATGGTGGGAAAATATCTGAGTAGGTGCACTAGAAATTAAGTTTTGTTTAAAAAGAAAATATTTACACTTCATTGAGGAGATGGACATAAACAGTGGAACAGATATACATAAATACATACTGAAATACACACACACATATAATTGCTGAGTTACATACATACATATAATATAAACAAATAATATTTAAAACTTTACGGTTGTGATGAATTTGCTAGAGTGACCAGAATGAGTAGAGCGTTCCAAAGGAGGACAGATTGCATTAGGAACGAAGAGTGGACATAGGAATAATTCGTGACGAAAGGAGGTAACATGGTCGTATTTGCGAAGGTTTAAGACATATCGAATGCAGTAATTTAGAAGGTGGTCATATTTATTGAGGAGATCTGCATTCAGGTCATAGTAGCATTCATCACCATAATCCAAGATTGGAACAGTTTAATGTTTGTACTAGCATTGCTTTTGTCTCGGGAGGAAGGAAGTTCCTAAGTCGATAGAAGGCCCATAGCGTACCTGTAACTCTCTGGCTAACGCTGGTGACCTGGGTTTGCCAGCTGAACTTGGAGTCGATAAATATGCCGAGGTTCTTAACAGAGGGACTGAAGGGAATTATTACGCCGTTAAAAGTAATGGCCGGCAGTTTATCTTGGTCTCTTCTTCCACTCATACGTTGATTGCCTACGATGATGGATTGGCACTTCGCTGGATTTACAGTCAAACCCAACCTATCAGCCCAACCGTTAATAGCCTTCAAGTCATTGTTAACCATAAAAATACCCTCGTTTATCGTCATAAAGATGGTACGCACATTGAAGATTCGGAGTGATGAGATTGATAAATATTGAGAATAATTAAGGAGAGAGAATGCCACCTTGAGGACAACCACAGTCAAGTTCACGACATCTTAAGGAGGCTACATCGACGCGGACAGACTCTTGTCACCCCTGGAGATATGACGAGAACCATTGCAGTGTATCAAATGTAATCATAAGGTAGTAAAAGATGGATAGAAGGATATATAGTGATTGACGTTGTTGAATGTATTTAGGAAATCAACCAATGCCAACACAGTGACTTTGAATTTCTCAATACCTGCTCGGATGTCATCGATTACTTTAAGCAGAGCGGAAGTTGTGCTATGCGCTGGTCCGAACCCCGATTGGAAAGGGCTTAGTAAGTTGTAAATATGTTGGGATAGTTGTTAGTTCACACAGGCCTCGAGGACTTTGGCTAGGAAGGGAAGAATTCAGTGTAGGATTTGGGATCTTGGGGAAGGAAATAACAAACGCTTTACGCCACAATGAAGGATACATCAGACCACCAGATCTAAAAGAGGAAAATTTAATATACGTGTAAGCCCGGGAAGAATGTGATTGAGGATGTGAATGATCATGCTTCGGTTAATGTTATCACATTGCATTGCATTATCCTTTAGAGCACACCTGGTTCTACTGGATAAAACTGAAAAGCTTCAATATTGAGACGGGGTAGATCCGCCAGAAACTATAACGTCCTACATTTGATTTGATGATCAAACTGTGATGATGAGGAGAAATGATGATTAATATAATCTAAATCAAAGGCTTTAAGGTTACGTTTTTCGGATTTGTCGATACCTAGGGTCCTAAGGACCTCCAGATACTTGAAATGGAGAAGGTCAGTGGAGAAGGACTTAGTAAGATTGTCAGTTGCGTACGTTATTAACAATAAATTAGATTAATTGATGACGACTCACCGTATCGTTTATATTTGTTTGACTCAGCCAAATAATTCACCAGAAAGTATGTCTATCGTACACTAGTTATTTTTGGAATCACTAGGAATAGAACTGTAGTTCCTATTTATATCTAGTAGATACAATTTCACATTTGCAAATTATCCTAAAGATTTTACTAATAATACAATCACTGACGGCGTCTTACAAACGAACGAAGCGAACTAATTTTAGTATACTAGAAGTTAGTTCTAGTTTTATTTGTATTTGCCGGTTCCACACTATTGCGATGTGGCCGTATATACGAGTATATATTAAGAGTTTGTGTTATCCTATCCCTACTGATCTGTTTTTATTTGGAGTTATCATTGGATTATATATAAAAGAACTAAAACAAAACATGCGACCTAGCAGTCCTATTCAGAAACGTATTTCCCTTAGGGCGCACATGCCCGGAACGGAAGCTTGTTGAAGCGGCAATAATAAATAAAAAGTTGCGGGCTCAAACCACATCCACACCGACATGCACTGTACTCTAACACAAGTATTTGGCTATTTGGTGAGGTAACAATAAAAATATTAGAAATAATAAAAGGTTAGGTACATACCTTGATGCCTTCCAAAGACCAAACCACGGCGTCCAATGCAACGACCAGCAGTTGCACGCGGAAGGTGGTACACGCGACTTAAAATTACTGGCGCGGCCAATGTGGTTCTTGGCACGGGGCGGGTGGCCCAATGGCCACGAGAGGGGCGACGGGACTGCCCTCGGAATCTTCACACTGAGCGGAGTGACTGACGGCGGTCAATGCCGAACACCAGCAACCGGACGGCCCGACCCGCAGACGCCGACTAATCGGGAGCGGGGGCCTTTTACCTATGTAGGAGACTGGCCAAGAGGAGGAAACCTCTATAAAAATCACACGGACAAGATGGCTTACGCCGTATGTCCAGATATTCCCTCCACGTGTCCTTCTGTTGCGCAGAGGGCACATGTGAGGGCTACGTCGGAGGACGACGTCTCACGGGGCGACGGGATCGCCGTCGGAGGCATGGATCCGCATGGAGCAACCGGCGGCAATCACTGCCGAACATCGGCAACCGATCGGCCCAACCCGTAAACGCCGAGCAATCGGGAGCGGGGGCCTTCACCAATGGGGGGAGGGTAGAGAAGGTCACGAGGAAGAAAACCTCTATAAAAAATCACCCCTAACCCAAGCTGAGGAAGCCCGGTGAGGAGGTTAACGGCTGGGGGGGTATCCCAGTCGCTAGGGCAACACAGCGTAAGCTCACGCGAAAGAGCAACCCAAAAAATGGACGCGACTACTACGAAGAAAGTACCCCAGGAGGGTACCGACCGCGCCGCGGTCGGAGAATCCCTCGGCGCTCCGGTTGAGATCGGAGTGTCCAGCCCACCGTATTCTGGGGGGGCAAAGTTGCGTGCACAGAGGTGTCCGAGTCCGGGCACAACAATTGGGGCGCACACGCCTAGTTTTGTGCGTCCCAGGACGCCGAGTCCGGCGTCTTCTCGCGCCCAGTCGGGTGAGCGAGGAAGAGCGGGTAGGCGGGCGCAGACGATCGAGCGCCCGATCTCACAGCCTACGGGAGGCCGAGGAATGGGAGGGCGGCGGGGAGACTCAGAGGATAGTGACGCTTCGTCATTTTTCTCTGTGTCCTCACGGTCGTCCCAAGCTCGTAAGCGCAAACCGAAGGGCCCGGCGGAGGAAAGCCGGCCCACCAAGGTTGCGCGGC